TTTTAATAGTGACTATTAAACAATTGATTACTCATTTTTCCATGTGATGAAGAAATTCTTGTAAAAAATTTCAACTGTTTATAATAAAACATTTTAGTTACTAAAATGTTGACTTGACTTCTCTTATCAATATAGGTAGATAATATTTTAAGAAGCTCAGCGACTGTTACTTGTAAAAACTTGCATATTCCATATTCAGTACAACGTGTCGAGACTTGTCGTTGCCCCGCCGGCCGCCGTCCCGTCCGCAACGCTTGTTCAGACGTGCAAATTAATACGACTTGTGGTGTATGTGCTTGCAATCTTGCATGAACGTGTTTGATTCTTCACCAATATAAATACTAATGTCAATTATAATCGTTACTCATTTGTTTCTGGAATTTCATAAAGAAAAGTGAATCGATATTAATGTTGGCCAGTGACTGAATTTGTTTCCAGACTTTCCAAAAGAAAAGTAAAGTGAATCGATATTAGTATTGACCAGTGACTGAATTTGTTTCCATACTTTCGAAAAGAAAAGTAAAGTGAATCGATATTAGTGATTGCCAGTGTCGGAAAAGTAAGTACCTATTTGTTATATGCATACAGTTTTAAGCCGAGAAAGCCCTACTTTATTTTTATTACCTAACTAATTCATTTAATTATTGCGAAGTTTTGATATCAAAATATTGTTTAAAAGTTTCTATAGAATTTACAGAAATATATTAAAATATAATAAATGAAATAATAATTTTATATCACATTAAAATAAGTTCAGTCGTTTTCATAAAACTCTATTATGGATCTTAGCGGTTTATTGCTTTTAATAATTGGAAACAGTTTGCAGCCGGAACTTTGTTTATTTCATAATATTTATAATAATTGATTAATCATATTATGTTAAAATAGCCATATCCTGTTAAGTTCGAATCGCCTTAAGATTACTAAAACAAAGTTTTTTTTTTATTTATTTACTTACACATTTACAGGTAGGTAATTGATACAAAACATGGCCGAATCTAAGAAGAAGTGTCGTCAGTACAGTGTTGAATATTTAAAATTTGGTTTTCTTCCATCAAAGGCAGACAAACGATTGCCCACATGTCTTTCATGCAATGTTTTGAGCAATGACTCTATGAAACCATCAAAGCTGGAAGATCATCTAAGAAGCTGTCATCCTGATAAAATAGGTAAAGATTTGAAATATTTCCAAACATTAAAGGAGAAATTTGAAAAGAGACCCACCGTGCACAGTATATTCTCTTCAACGTCCGAAAGCAACGATGATGGCTTGCGGGCATATTACAATATTTCATTACTTATCGCAAAATCTGGAAAACCGCACATCATTCGAGAACAGTTAATTTTACCTGCTGTTGAAGAGGTTCTGCACAAATCTTCATTTGACATACTCAAAAGAATTCCTTTGAGTAACAACACTGTACAAAGACGTATTGATGAAATGAGTTCTGATGTTGAAATATTCTTGTGTGATTATCTACGAACAACTCATTTTTCTATTCAACTGGACGAGTCAACTTTACCTGGCAATGAAGCATTATTATTGGCATATGTTCGATTTGTTATGGACAAAGAAATTCACGAAGAGCTACTTTTCGCGAAAACTTTGAAGACAGACGCTAAAGGTGAATCAATATTTAATGTTTTGAGTGTTTTTTTAAAAAAATACCGATTCCATTCACAAACGTTATTTCGCTGGAAAGAGATTGAGCTCCTGCCATGGTCGGGCGATATCGTGGGTTTATAAGCCATCTTAAAAGAATTATACTAGAGGTGATTGCGATTCACTGTGTCCACCGACAACATCTAGTAGTGAAAAATTTTAGTGATAGATTGCACCAATCGCTTCAATTTGTGATTAATGCAGTTAACAAAATTAGAAGCAATGCATTGAATAAGTGTTTATTTGCACAATTGTGCGATGAAAATGATGAAGACTTCCAACGATTGCTATTACATACCGAAGTACGCTGGTTGTCGAAAGGTGCATGTTTATCAAGATTTTATTTACATTTTGACTCAGTTTTAGAGTTTTTTGAAAGTAAATATCCTGATTTTAAAAAAAATTTGATCAATTTTAAAGCAGACATCGCGTATTTGACAGATTTGTTCAAACAATTTAATGACCTCAACTTACAATTACAAGGGGACAGCCTCAATTTAATAAAAACAAAGAGTGTAATTTCAGCTTTTCTTGGTAAATTGAAATTTATGAAGGAAAATATTGGTCGGCGCGAATTTTCACAGTTTTCAAATTTGTCGCAGGTAGAATGCCTTGATGAAGATATTCAGACATACGTTCAACATTTGATTGCCCTGAATGATGATTTTAAATTCAGATTTGAAGATATTCCGTCGATGGAAATACCACTATGGATCATAAATCCATTTGATGAAACGGAAGTGGAGAGTGTGATATTACAAGAGGAGCTACTCGAGCTTAGCATTAATGAGGAGCTGAAAGTGACATTTAAAAGAGGGTATCAAAAATTTTGGCTGCAGACAGAAATACCTGAAAAATATCCTGGACTGTGAGGAATTGTGCAAAAGCTTCTGATAGCGTTTCCCTCGTCATATCTCGTCGAAAAAAGTTTTAGTGCCGTTACAAACTTATTAACAAAAAAACGAGCAAATTGAATATCACAGAAAGTGGAGATTTACGGTTATTCATCACAAAACTCAAGCCAAATATTAATAATTTGCTGTCAATCCATCAAGTACATCTCTCTCATTAAAATTATATTTTTTTGTAATTACCATTGTAGAAATTACATTACGTTATAAGTGTTTAATTTTAATTATATTACGACGGTTATAACAATAATAATTAATAGTGTAATAATTTATATATTTAAATTTAAATAAATACCTACAACACAAGGAAATATACTATATTTCTTTTTACCACTCCGAATGGGACGTTTTCTAAATAAAATTTGTGAGAATTGATTGGTTCTTGTGCTGTGAATCACTGTAGATTTCAAAAAAGTAAAGTTGGATGGAGTCACTTTTTCGTTTGGCCAACTTTGCTTTTTTGACATCCACTCACAGCACAATCAATTAAAATTTAATTGAAAAATTTGTTTAGTCGACTTTATTATCAAATAATTAACCCTATCAAGCAATCAATTTTAACCTTTTTTTTTTTCGAAAACTGTTAATTCGTCGTTAAAACTCAGCCACAACGCAAGTTTCCATAGAATAGATCTAATCTTCACTTTTTTTTTTTCGAGATTTAGAAATTGGTAGTGATGTCCACCGGATCCAGCAAAATTTTGAAAGTGGTCTATGAAACAAAAGAGTTTGGGAACCTCTACTCTAGAGATTCAAAACTATTCCTACCAAGAAATAAAAATCGCAATACTACTAGATCTGTGCACTGATCTCATCGTAGCACATGACATTAGAAGCAACATTAGAGAGTAGATGTTATTTTTGGAGGGTCAAGACCACCTATGAGATAAGTTGCTTATAGCGGAAAAAATTAAACTCGCTCCTCATTTGGGAACTTGACACCCGATTGTAAAGCTATTGCTTCAAATTCACGAAAATACAGTGAATAAAATGAGACTTTCATTAAGGATGAAGTAGAGAAGTTAATAAAAGAAGGATTATCGAAGTTAGTACGTCACCTTGGCGAGCACAAGTAAAATTTATAAATAAACGAAGTTCATAAAAAAGGTATAGTGGTGGATTATTCCCATTATCTCTGATTATTCCCAAACGATCAATAAATTTACATTGCTTGATACATATCCACTTCCAAATATGGATCAAATGATATCCAAAATAGCTAAGTATAAAGTATTCAGCACAATTGATCTTGAATCGGTCTATCATCAAATACAATACGTGAAAGTGATAAACCATCTACAGCTTTTGAGGCCGCAGGTCAACTGTACCAGTGTTGTCGTAGTCCTTTTGGTGTTACTATCTGTATCTGTTACAAATAGAGGGTAAGTTAACGGTACTTAGACATCACTAGACCCATTGTACATCCTCTTAAGTAAATAGGCACTTCCTGGCTCGTCAGCCAGCCTATAGATTTAATGTAGTTGACAACATCGCCATCTTACATCGGCCGGTGCTAGCCAATTCTCGCCGAACACAAATCTTTTAATAAATGAGAGTGTCAGGTAATCGTAGAGGATATGCTCGATGGTTTCATCTTCTTGTTCGCACACCCCCTGCAACGTGCGGATGCTGACAACCCCATGATATGGAGATGCTTTCGTGCTTGGCAATGTCCAGTCAGAATGCCTGTGATCAGGCGCAGATTATGTCTTGTCACAGTCAACTATTTGTTTACTGTAGTGTTGTCAGGATAACTTAAAATCTCCCTGGCAAGTCTGCAACTTCTTATTTAATCCCATTTGTCCTTGAATTTTCAAGGTAATGTTCTTTAATTAGATTTGTCACTACTGATATTGTCAGTCCAATAGAAGGGCCAGGTCCAAAAAGTATGTGGTTGACTGCCTTTTTGGCTAGTGAATCAGCAAGACGGTTACCTTTCGATGTAGCGTAACCATTGATCCATCTTAAGGAAACCACATTGTTGATGGATACTTCGGCCAAAGCTTCGTGACATTCTAGTACTAACCCTGAGTAAATTCGTGGTCTGGAGTATATTCCACGTTTACTCCTTATGTGTGTTTGGCCTGCATGTATGTCAGATGCTTGTCAATTTGATACTTGTCAATTTGTTTATGTATAGTTTAGCGAATTAAAGCCTTACTATGAAGAGGTTTGTTTCATTATTAAATGTTTATTTAACGCTTAGCTGTCAATATCCCAACAATTTTCCAGCACTATTAACGCTTATCCACGACCAAACAATGACGGAAAAGCGTGCACACTATTAGTAGTAACCAACGTATAATTCTCTTAGAATTCTGAATTTCTAGAACGATAAACTAGGAACCTTCCTCTGTTAAAAGATTGGAACGTCTTGGTTCCTCCACGTGAATTAAAAAAAATTAATTTTCAAACTAGACTTTCCTGCGCTTATCCATGAATATCCGATATCTATGGATTGTACATATACGTGGTAACCTTGGAAATAAAATAAAAATAATGATAGATAATTGACAAAGGTTACATATCAAGATGAACAGTTATTTTTTTATTTTTTTGTAAGAGTCCAAATCTGTAATGGTATAAGTTTCAATTAATTATTATTATGGCTTTTACGTTGTCACTGTGGAATCTATTTGAGACGTCTTTGTTATGTTTGAATGCTTTGGCGATTATTAATGAAGAACGAGTTGTCACCAAATGTGAGTAGCTTAGTGCATTGGTCCATCATTTTAGAATTTTAGAACACAAAAAATGTAAATTACTTACCTAATATTTGACAAGTTATTTTACCTTTTATTCGCTTCTTTACATCTTTTTTTTTTATTTTCTTGTACCGTAGAACTATTCTCCAATTTAATTCGTATTTATGTATTATTTACTTTTAAATATTTAATAGTTGTACTACAATACAACTAGTAAACCTACAGGTTACCATTTAAACATGGTCCATATGCATCAAAGTGCCGAGGTCGGTAGAAGAATCAGGAAGAGTAGAATTTGGGAAGCTAAAGTGGATCAAGAACAAGAAGGTGTGACCAAGAGCATATTAAAGACTACAAGATAAATCATTAGGTTATAAATATAACAAAAGTAAGAGAAGCCAAAAGGACTTTTGCTTTGACATCTGAAGTGTAAACATCGCTGTCAGTGAAAACACAATCTTTTGTTATTTGAGCTTTACTAATAATATCCTGTATATTTTCAACCTCTTTCTTCCTCATATTTTTAGTAAGTAATTGTATATAAACATGTTTTTGTGACACAAACAAATAGAGGTTAACTTAACCTTCAACCCACATGGAGTTGAGGGTCAACGATCGCCCGGATTGTTCAGATCCTCCACCGAGGGTTAAAAACTTGTATTAGAACACAGACTCGGGCCCCTTCGAAGTGTACGTCCAAGGAAAAACAAATAACCTAGGAAATCTTCATGTACTAAGTATAGCAAAAACCATTTAGTAAGAAAAGGGAAAAACCGTATTGGTACGATCTTTACCAATGCTCAAGCTGCCAACCAATTTATAGAGGATAAAGAAATGAAAAAAAAAAGGTTATGAAGTTTTTATTCCATCACACAATGTCTCTTGCTTAGGGATTGTAAGGTATGTGGACAGATCTTTTACAGATGATGAAATTAAAGAGGCAACTGAATTGTAAACTTGTTCATGTCAAACGTCTAAATAGAACAGTTGTGGAATCCTGTAAAGAAGCCTCCTATGTATCAACAGGTACGATTTGTATTACTTTTTCAGGAAAAATGATTCCTAAAGAAATTTCAATTTATGGTCTCCCAGTCAGAGTTGTACCATATATCACTCCAGTAATGCAATGTCATAATTGCTGGCTTTATGGATATCGTATTAATCAATGTAGAGGAAAGGCCAAATACGTAAAGTGTGGTAAATCCCATGAATCAAATGTTTTTGCAGTAAGTATTGTATTTACTGTAAATATACGGAACACAGTTCCAACGAGTTGAATTGCCCTGAATATAATAGACAAAAAGAAATCAAGCAACTAGTGTCATTTTCGAACATATCTTACTTCGAAGCCAACCAACAAATTCCAAAAAATAGAGAAAACCCTATTCCTAATATTAATGACTTTCCAGCCCTTCCCAACAGGGATGCAAATCAAAATGGTATCCCAGTCTCCCAAAGAAGATCATAAGCCTTGTCTAATACAATATTACCCACCTACAGTCAAAAAATAAGAACGCCAAAACGAAGGAGATCTCATGATGATGATGAATATGATAAGAAAAAGCATCAAGAATGCTTAATTAGTCCATCGGGAAGATCATCCAGTCTTCCAACTCGACCCCTATCGTCTCTCCTTCGGCCTGAGGAAGGAAATAATATTAAAATAGATGTTATTCAAGCCTTAGATAGCTTATCGGACCAACCACAAGGAGTTAGTCATGACTTTCATAGGTAATATTATCAACTCTTTTTATTCTGTATCACAACCCAATGCTTCTCCTATAGGCCCAGCAGGACCTTCAAATTCTTTCTCTCAGTCAGGTCTAATGGAGTACTCTGATGATTCAGAGTACTAATTATCTATTATTATGCTCTTCGACCATTCCTTCCTCAAGGTTCTCCGCTCAGTCCCATGTTGTTTAACCTTTATACTTTGTCTCTATTTGATATCCTGCCTAATAATTTTAAATTAATTCAATATGCTGATGATCTGGTAATACTGGTTAATGGATCGAATGTTTACAATATGATTCCACGTATCAACTCGTTTTTGCTTAAATTAGAGTCCTGGTTGGAAAAACTTAACCTTAATCTTTCATTGCATAAAACTTCGGCAATTTTATTTACTAAAGGGATAACTAAAATTACTTTACCTAATATCATCTATAAATCTATAAATATCTAAGGATAAGCATTCATAAGAATCTTAAATGGAATTCTCACTTTAATGATTTAAATGTTAAGATCAATCGGAACTTCAATGTCATGCGTGCTCTCTGTGGAACTTGGTGGGGATGTGACCCACAAATATTAAGAATTTTACATAAATCAATAATTTTGTCCCACTTGGATTATGGATGTCAAATTATAATACCGTGTTCCCAGGATATATAGAAGAAGCTAGATACACTTTAGAACCAAAGCCTTCGTATCATCACAGGGTGTATGAAATCTACTCCAATTCTAGCCTTATTGACAGAGACAGGTGAAATCCCTCTTAGATTTAGAAGAGAATGGCTATCACTTAAGTACCTAATTAAAAACATGTCTTTGGTAAACAATCCCATTATCACTGCTTTAAGAAAACTAGAAAGATTATGTGGGGTCTCTACCTACTGGAACAACAACAGTAATCCTCTACTAATCCAGCTCATCAGTCAATTCGATGTCGTGAATCCTCACCTATATACTTCAGAGCTTTTACCATGTTATAAATTTGATTTCCAACCCCAATTGGCCTCCACTAAATCTAAAAGTATAGGAATTGTACAATATCAGAATATCATCAGGAAATACCCATCTTATACCAAGCTCTTTACCGATGGCTCAGTAGACTCTTCCGGTCACTCATGGTTTGGAGTGTATAGTCCAGATATAGATTATGCATTCTCAAGTAAGCTTCCTCTCCATACTCAAATTTGTACAGCTGAAGTTGTAGCTATCAACAAGGCCTTGCAAGTAATATTAGACAAAAACATCGTTCAATCCATTATCCTCTCAGACTCCAAAGCTGCACTTCAAAAAATAGCAAGATCATGCTTTTCCAGGGAAACTGAACATTGTTCCTTCTTGACTAAGGAAGGTATCTTACTCGCAGAAGATGAACACATCAAAATAACTCTGGCATGGATTCCAGGCCACTCTGGGATTCTGGGTAACTTCAAGGCAGGTCAATTGGCAAATATAGGAAGATCTCTGAATATTCCAGTGAATAGCAAATTAAACTATTATAATTTCTTTCCATTCATCAAAAACATTGTGAATTTAAGATGGCTTGAAGAATGGAATAGCCTCATGAGTAGGAAGAATTCCTTTTATTCTAAAGTCGTTCCACGATTTGATAAAATCCCTTGGTTTTTAAATTTCCCCTACAAGGACCGAAGACATTTAACAACAATAATTAGAATGAGGACAGGACATTGCCTATCCCCATATAACTTATTTCGTATAGGAGTAAAAGATGATCCATTTTGTGTGGTCAAATTGTCTCATTAAACCACATTATCTTTGAATGTCCCATAAATATGATGGCAAACTTTGATTTATACTCTGAACTGGCAAAAAACCAAGATTTTTACTCCCTTTGACAATAGTTTTATGTTGGCTAACCTCAATGATAGTAGATTAAATATTCTATTCAAATTTTTAAATATATCTAAAATTCAATTATAACCCTAATACTTTATCCTCTCTTTCAGTCCTAGGTGCTCCTTATATTTACCGTTGGCAGTTTTCTGGTTGTGTTCAGCTTGGCGACTGCCCCCAAACGAGAAAAGTTTTTATCCTGTGTTGTGACGTCTATGTACTAACTTTGTATGTGTCTCTACGTATATAACTCAAGTAGTAACATTGATAAGCTTTTTACTTTGAAATATATAATTATATCAATATAATAGAGGGTATACAATTGCTGAGAGCAAGACAAGGATACTCTCCCCGTTGTTAGCTGGATAAATTATCCTGTGGGATATAGCCCAATAAAGGAGGAAGAGGAACAGAAGCCAGAAAACATGTTACCAAACTGATACATACTAGGGTATTGGAAATCATGGCTAGGTAAAGAAGCAAAGCGATACATTATAAAAGACACTGTAACGTACTCCAGAAGAATAAGGAAAAACAATGAAAACATCTCACGCGGATACAATTGTTGCAAAAAAATGTAGTAGCCTATGCCAAAGTTTGTTGACACAAAAGGGCTAAAGAAGAAGATCTACGCGCATTAATACAGATATGTGCTAATCTTTGCAGATTTTCACTTCACTTCTTTATATTGTCCTTGTGAGTTATTTTACCTTTCTTGGTTTTCATCTTCCAGTTAAGTTTTTATCCACTAAGACAAGTGGTGCTTCAATCTTGGGTAATATGTTATCTTTAGATTTTGTTGGGCAGTTATATGAACTGCTTACCGGCTTAGTCAACAAATACAGTTAATGTTTTGGGTAATAGAAATCCATAGTGGATTATGGAAGGACTTACTCTTAGTGTCCTCATACCTAAAGATAATGTATAAAATAATAAAGTCGGAAATAAAACTATTTATTATTATTTAGCTCACCTGCTAAATGAAGATGAAAATATACGATTGATGTAATGTTCTACCAAACTTTCATGTTGTCTCAATAATAAATTTTCCAGACCCTTGGATTAAGCGACTTTACTTTGTAACGAACAATATTTATTCTAGGTGATGCTGATACATCTTTAGAATCGGATATGTGTTTCAAAAACGCAGAGAGTAAATCATGTGTGTACAATATTGTTAATTCTATGACTACTCTTTCAAAATGTAAGTATGGAACGTCTATTATATTTTATTAGTTTGTAGATATCAAATTGAACAAAAGAGAGCTAATTACAAATAAGCTTAATTAAAGTTTTTTAAAAATATATGATTATTATTAATGAAATAATTTATTAATAATTTTTTTTGCTTAGTAGGGATATTTTGAACTGATACCATTTTTGACCTATATTTTTTTTAATTTTGATAATTGAAGAAAAAGTTGTATGTCTTTTGATCAGTTTGATGTACTTACTCGTATGTACATGACATATTTAATTATATTATTTTCTAAAAATAACAAAAAAAATTAAATGATCAAAATTACTGAAATGAATAGTCATAACTTTTATTTTTTATACCGAGTGTTTATTAAGTACGAGGCCAAATTTAAAGCGCTATTCCTTACTCAATTTTAAAACAAAAAGTTCTTATAAACGTTGGTTAGTAGCGTAATCCCTGTTAATTTTAGTCTATTATTTATTTTTCAAAAACCTGTATTTTACAAAAAAAAACTTTTTTCCTTAAAATTGTGTAAGGAATAGCACCACATTCTTCTTATTTTTTTTTTTTTCTCCAGGGCTCGTCTGACTATGTGTCTCCGAATAACACTGAAGCCTATTGGCTTATTGTGTTTTACCCCATGTTAGTTCATAGCACCCACTCTGTCACCTTTGTACATTGTACAAGTTTGTACAGATCCTTGGGTGAGTGGGTTTTATACGTTGTTGGATCAACCTGGGGTTGTCCAAAAAGAGCCTGTCTTTTGCGATCTAGAGCTTCGCATTCCCACAGTATGTGTTTGGCCGTTTCTGGTTTTTTGTGACATAGTCGGCACATGAGTTCCCTATTGTACAGGGTGTCTGATTAAGGACTCGTAGCGGCTGTATCTCAGAAACTATGGATCCTACGGCTTCGAAAAAAAAAATTTATAACAAAAACGGTCAAGAGAAAATGCTGGAAATTATTTTGAACTTTCTATTTTAACTGTTACAGGGGGTATTCGCTATGGTAATTCAAAAAAATCACTTTTCCCCTATAAATGTCTAATAATAGTATGATAATAATCAAACGGTAATTTTGATTAAATTTTACAAAAGTTTTATTCAACACTTTTTGCTCTATTCAATAAAATAACAGGTAGGGGCGATTGGGAACCTTAATTTAATAAATGTAATATAACTACAGTGTCATTTATCAGATTTTAAAAAACTTTGTATCGATTAAAAGCAAATTGATTGTTTAGTAAAATATTTCAAAATAGTTCTGATTCAGTTGTTTAAAAGAGCACTAGGTGGCGTTGTATAAGCAGTAACCATTTTTTTGAAGTTTTCTTGAAAAATTTATATGGAATGTTATAATTTTTATACGTTATTTAGAAAGAGAATTAAATTCTGACAAGAAACAAAAAAAAACCGCGTCTTTTTATTTTTCTCCTAACCGAATATAAGCAAAAGTCTATTAAGGGTGAATAGTTTAGTTAAATATTAATAAATAAAGTTATTAATATATTAATCAAGTTGGCTTTGAAATGTCAATAAGCTTAAATGTCAAATTAATTATATTTTAATAAGTTAAAAGACATCATGCCTTACAGTAATTCCGAAGCTTATGATATGTTAAAAGTATATTTTGAATGTTTTGAGAACGCCCCGATTGCATCCAGAGAGATATCCAGATATCCTCAGCGAGTTTTACAAACAAGAGAAACATTTAAAAATCTGGCGATTCGTTTAAAAGAAACTGGCTGTGTTCAACCTAAAAAAGCTATTCAACGACGTAGAAGAAGCAGAACGGAAATTAACGAAATAAATATATTAGCATACGTTGCTACAAGTCCACATATAAGTATACGGAAAATTGCTTCCGACTTAGGACTTACTAGGTACTGCGTTTGTTCTATTTTAAAACAAAATCGTCTCCATCCATACCATGTAGCCCTTCGTCAAGGTCTGAAATTAACAGATTATGATAAAAGACTGGAATATTGTAATTGGCTTAAGAATATGCTTAATGAGGATCCACAATTTTTATCACATATAATGTGGTCCGACGAATCTACATTTTCCAGTAATGGATCTGTAAACAGGCATAATATGCATTACTGGTCTGACCACAATCCTCATTGGATGCGGAGAAGTTTTTAATCAAGGTCGGTGGTCAGTAAATGTGTGGTGTGGAATTTTAGACGGTAAAATTATAGGTCCTATTATTATTAATGAACATTTAAATGGTGAGCGATATTTAAGATTACTGAGAGACGAATTGCCTATTTTATTAGAAAATATTTCACTAGAGGTACGCCGTAATATGTGGATACAGCAGGATGGCTGCCCAGCACATTATATAAATAATGTAAAAGACTTTTTAAATCAACATTTTCGGAATAGGTGGATTGGAAGAGGTAGTCTATTTCCATGGCCACCAAGATCTCCCGACCTCACCGTATTAGATTTTTATTTGTGGGGTTGACTTGAAGATTTAGTTTACCAAACTCAGCCTGTAAGTAGAGAAGATCATATTCCTAGGGCTGAAATAGAAGCTGCTGTCAATTCAATTAGACAGAGACTTGATATTTGCATTGAAAAAGATGGAAAACAATTCGAGCACTACCTCTAATTCTTGTATTGCATTCTCTATTTTGTTCTCTGTTTAGTTACTTATTTTGTTGTATTTTATTAATATATTCAATTTTTATTTCGCAATTAGTTTTATTAAACCAGTAAACTTACACTAAAGAGTTAATTTAAATCCGATTTTAATATTTTTTTGTCTTAATCGCTTTACAGTTAAGCTATCGAAAAATTACTGACGTTTCAAAGCCAACTAGATTAAAATATCAATAATTTTATTTAATAATATTTAAGTGGACTATTCACCATTTATAGACTTTTGCTTATATTCGGTTAGGAAAAAGATAATAAGACGCGGTTTTTTTTTGTTTCTTGTCAGAATTTAATTCTCTTTCTAAATAACGTATAAAAAGTATAACATTCCATTTAAATTTTTCAAGAAAACTTCAAAAAAATGGTTACTGCTTAAACAACGCCACCTAGTGCTCTTTTAAACAACTGAATCAGAACTATTTTGAAATATTTTACTAAACAATCAATTTTCTTTTAATCGATATAAAGTTTTTCAAAATCTGATAAGCGACACCGTAGTTATAATACATTTATTAAATTAAGGTTCCCAATCGCCCCTACCTGTTATTTTATTGAATAGAGCAAAAAGTGTTGAATAAAACTTTTGTAAAATTTAATCAAAATTACCGTTCGATTATTATTATCATACTATTATTAGACATTTATAGGGGAAAAGTGATTTTTTTGAATTACCATAGCGAATTACGCCCTCTAACGGTTAAAATAGAAAGTTCAAAATAATTTCCAGCATTTTCTCTTGACCGTTTTTGTTATAAAAAAATTTTTTTCGAAGCCGTAGGATCAATAGTTTCTGAGATACAGCCGCTACGAGTCCTTAATCAGACACCCTGTACATGCCAATTTTGTTCAAGTGTCCCTTTACTGGGGCGTGCCCAGTCATGAACCCTGTTATCACTTTCAACTGTTTCCTATTCATTAAGAGTAGTTCTCCAGTTCTTTTGGGACATGGTCTGCCTATGAAGGCTTTTCCATGTGCCTGTTAGGGGGTGCTTCTCCAATAGTTGATATGTTGTTCTCGAATCCGGTCTTAATAAATACCCTGTATTTTTTATTTTATTACGGCAACTGATTGAAATGGAGTTATATCGTCCTTAATTTAAATGGAAAAAATCAAAATTTTAATATTTAAAATTATGGCGGATGGACAACGGAGCATTCGCCATAAATTCAAATTTAACTCGTTGACTGAGGGCCAGTTGTATAGATTTTTAAATTTTAGTTTATACTGAGAGACTTGAAAATGTACCCAGTTAAACTATTTGTGAATAACTGGATAGAGTTCTGTGTTGTGTATTCATATGCAAATATATGTCAATTTGTTTGAGTAATACTTTTTCAGAAGCTTTTGATATTCTAAGAGCCTGTTGTACAATAGGCAGTTAAAATGTAATGTGAACTTCGTTTTATAATCATCGGTTATTCTTAAACATAGTTTAAAAAATGACATTTGTACTTTGAATATAACCAGTTAAAAATTAAACTCCTGTTAGCTAAACTGTGTTTACTGCATTCTTTGTACAACCAGCCCTAAAGAATCCCTAAGCCCTAAAGAATCCCTAAGCCCTAAAGAAACCCAACTTGGGTTTAACTGGAAATTGTAGTTTAAACTGATTCTATACAAGTGGCATTCCTATAAGGTAGCTAGGTACTTAAGTTTAATACCTATAGGTTCATCACTAACTTTTTTAGATCGTGTATCTAATGATGGTTTGTAAAATAAACATTTCTACAATAGGTGCCTACTTTATTATATCCATATTTTTCGAATTGCTTTTTTATTTTCTAGAACATCACATATCCATTGTAATATCCTATTTTTATTAGAGATTTATATTACCGTATTAGAATTGAATACAAAATATATCACATTTCTGCCTGATATTGATGAATGATATATATTTCAATATATGAAATAATAGAAAATAAATATACAATTTTGTTTCAGATCCCATTATATTATTAAATTTAATCACCATTATCCTTAAACTAATCCTTGGTTCCTGAAGAACGACCTATCGACCTAAATAATGCCATTTTATTTAATGAAATGTATTTAAACGAATAAAAAGTAAACTATAAAAACATTTTATAAAAAATATCTTTTCTTTTCTAAAAATTAATGTAATATTTTTATGAGAGCTATTTTACAATAAATATACCTACTGTATGCACTATCTCGAAACATTTTTCTATAGATATTCATTGAAAACGAAAATACTGAAAAATTTTAATTTAGCACTTTTCCTTCAATACGGTCCATTTTAGAAAAATCGTATAAAAAACAAAATTTATAAAGATTGATATCACAAATAACTTTTATTTAAACAATTTTCCTAAAAATTTGAATTTTATTACATTTTGTCAAATTTCTCGAATACGGACCATTTAAAAAAAAATGTATAGAACCAAAATTATAGATAATACTATTGTAAGTCATTTTTATCTGAACAATTTTCTTCTCCAAACGTAAATACCAGATATATTCCATAAAATATCAAAACGGCCTCCCATAAAGTACCCCCCAAATGTTCCGCCTTTGTCCAAAATCTAATAATTTCACCTCAGGCCGAAATAAAACTTAAGTTTAAAATTTAATGTTTTTTCCTTTATCCGTTTTTGAGTTTTCTTCAAAATTCGAAATTTACACATTTTCTCAAATATCTCGAATACGGTCCATTTTAGAGAAATTATGTATGGGATAAAAATTATAGAGAATTATATTACAAACAACTTTTATCTGAATAATTTTTATAAAAAAATATTTTTTTTACATTTTGTCAAATTTCTCGAATACGGACCACTTTAGGAAAATTTTGAATAGAACAAAAATTATAGATAATAATATTATAAGTAACTTTTATTTGAAGAATTTTCTTATTCAAACGTAAATAACGGATATATTTCATAAAATAGTATCCCCCCAAATGTTCCGACTCTGCCCAAAATCTAATCAGTTCACCGCAGGCTGGAATAAAGCTTAAGTTTAAAATTTGGTGTTTTTCTTTGTATCGGTTCATGAGTTATGGTGAATACAGACACAGACACACACACAGACATCATTCCGAAAATAGTCAAAACGGATTCAGGGGACCCCAAAACGTAAAAATCCGTCGAAAACTGGAGGTCGAAAAAAATCATGATTCCTATACTTTCCTTATCTGTATACAGATAGGAAAGTAAAAAAGCACCTTTCGTATCAATTACGCTTGATGAAACCACAGACGTAGCAATTATCCATTATTGTGCGATTTGTATTGGATGGCATTCCTCAAGAGCGATTCTTAGGATTTTTGGACGTCACTAGCGAACGAACTGCAGATGTATTGTTTAAAATTGGTTGTGACATTATTTCAAGTTTAGAATGTGGTTCTAAGCTTGTTGCCCAGAGCTACGATGGTGCTACCGTAATGGCTGGTCATTTAGGAGGCCTTCAAGCTAAAGTGAAAGAGAAGTTTTAACATGCACATAGACTTAATTTGGTTATATCGCGAAGCATGGATAATATTAAAGATAGCAAAGTTTTCTTTTCGATGCTTAGTGGTTTGGCTTCCTTCTTTTCAAAGTCATCGAAAAGAACTCGCGCTTTGGACATTCACGCTCAAGAAAGGTTTCCAAAAGTTGCTCCGACGCGATGGAACTACAATGGACGTTTAGTGCAAACAGTGTTTCAATACCTTGATTCTTTGATACACTTTTTTCAAGACGTTTGGGATAATAAAGAAACATGGGATGCTGAAACTGTTACTGCCGCTAAAGGGTATTTGCATTGGCTCAAACAAAACTTTGATTTCAATTTTTTGCTCAACATTTTTGCAGAGATTTTCCCTTTTATTGACATTTTATTCGACATTTTACAAAGTCAAATGACATTGGCTTTTGCATTAAACAAATTGATGATTTTAAAAACAAAATGAATAAAAACCGAGATGTTTGAACACTTTTGGAATAAGACTCAAAACATTGGCTTAGAACCTGAAAGAAAGAATTAGTATTGATAATGTCGTCGATTATACGCCGAAATTTTTGATAATATTTTACAACAAATGAACTCTCGATTTCAAAACTTTAACGAATTAAAATTTGTTGAATTGTGCAATTTTAATATTAGTAACTACGATTCATCAAATTTTCCATCGGAAGCTTTTAATTCACTAAAATTAAATTATGGAAATTGTTTCGATATTCCAGCATTAAAGTCCCAGTTAAGTGTTGTTTATGAAACAACTGAAATTGGTGATAAAATGACGCCCATCAATGTGTTAAATTTTTTTATAACTAGTTTAAATAAGTCCCTTTGTGAAGTCGTCAAGTTGTGTGAATTAGTACTAACCATCCCAGCCACAAGTGCGTCAGTTGAGCGAAGTTTTTCAGCTTTAAAGCGCATTAAAAGTTTTATACGAAATTCAACAAGTGAAGACAGATTCTCTAATTTAGCCCTAATATCCATTGAAAAACAGCTTGTTAAACAGTTATCAGAAAATTCAAAATTTTACGACGATGTTATAGACAAATGTGCAGCCATTGAGGATAGGCGAATAGATCTTAAGTATAAATAAATGTCAACTGTGCAAAAAATGCTGGAAAACATAAAAAAAAAGTTATTTTTTTTTACGTTTAAATAAACCAAGGAAGCTTTTCAATGGCAAGTTTTGTATAGCTTCTAGTACTAAACTGGGTAATAAAGTAATAGTAACACTTCAAAAATCTCAATCTCGAATATCCATAGTACTGAGGAAAAAAAGCAAGATTTTGACAAAATGGTGAATGCGCCGCGAAAAATTTTCTCCTGCGGCGCTGTGCTTACTAGCCTGCTGTATTTTTATACAATCGCTTCCCCGTCCAAAAATGTCACCGCACGCCTCTGATTTTCACCAAAATAAAAACGAAAATTTAAAAAAAAATCTTTATTAAAACTATTATTAATCACTTAAATTTAACAGATCAAGCATTAAATGAATAAAATTATAGAATACCACCAATTAAGAAATCAAAGCTAAAATTCAATCCTTCAGATTAGGAAATATTTGGAATGTTTGATAATTTAAAAAAGTAATAACCATACGTTTAACACACTAGGATGAAATATATTTCACGTTATGAATCAAACAGAAGTTTGTGAATTCAAAATATTTACAAAAATTTTTTGACTTTCGTAGTTATCTAGTAATTTTAAAAATTGTATATAAACTTAATTTTTAATCCACAGCAACTAAAAATAAAATAAAACAAAGTTGTGATGTAATGTGAATTACCGTATTGTATCACCAAACAATCAAACTTGTTCAAATTATGTCACAACTTAAAAAATAAACCTGTTACATACACTGGTAGGCACAAAAAGAGGGACACTTTAAAAATTTGGTACACTTGTTAGTTTATTAAAAATCTATAGAATTATTTGGTGGATTGGGCTATGAAGAACTGGTTAAGAATATGGAGGACTAGTAGCCAACATACAAGGAAATATCAACAGGAGCTTGATGTCACAATTTGTATTCAAATGGCTATCCACTTTGGAAACCGTATTCTTCATACTATTTTTTTGCGAGGGGTAAACCACAGAGGTGTACAAGGATAGTGAATTGTGAGGAATTTAAGGAAATGTGTAAATTGCTGTGGAATTTTGTTTAATTACAGGAATTGCTTGAATTGCAGTTTACCCCTCGATTTTTAATGAACCTTTTAATTTTCTTCTACTATGAGTAGAGGTGTATTTCTACTTTTTTGTACCAGTCAGTGAATTTTCTACAAATTATTTTCTTACGTAATAATTAATTTTATATAATAACAAATGCACAGTAAGCAAATGTAAAAACTGCCATTCAAAATTCCATAAAGTGTTTATATTTATTACTACAAAAAAAAAGAGATTTACCCTTTTCTAATTTCATGGCCACCAGGACCTCATGAACTTAACCCAGCAAATTAACGACTATAGGGTTATTATTTAAAAATTTGGTATTTAGATAAAGACCAAAGACGGTATTAGGGAACAAATTGATTTTGTGGGTACAATTTGAATTTAAATCATAGCCAAGGAAATAGAGGTCACGATGAACTAGTTTTAGACAAAAATGGGGGAGATAGAGCCGGTTTATCTTTAAATATCATTTACTTAGTTAATCTCACTTAAGTCTTTAATAAAATTTAGTGAAGATAGCCCATGTTAGAAAAAATTAGATTTATCACCTTCTAGACATCTGCAAGTAAAAAAAATAAGTAATTCTAAACTTTTTTGATATTGACACGACTATCAGTAATTAAAAAAAATACTGTATTATAAACAATATAAAAAAAGCCTTGGAAAACTAATATAATTATTCTTAAAAGAAAATAATATATTTCTTTAATTGATTCATCTACCAGTATAAAAAATATTGTTAATAATTAATGGTTTCTTAAAAATAAAAGTATATAAATAGAATTCAACTACATGGCAATCTTCACATTGAAAAAGGCAACAATGTCTACAGATACAGCGGATGAATTTGTTTCATGGTAATTCGTTTTCTACAAGTAGGACACGATTTAGAAATTTTAGCCACTTGTTTAATGCATCCCATGCAAAATATATGCCCGCACACAGTTGCCCCTGGAACATTATTTCCGCCTAAAACTTCAAAACAAATGGGACAGGTTCGTTTGTCTTTGTCAGGATTTTCTGCCACCAAATCAACTTTTTTATTCTGTGCGTTATCTTCCACAGAACCTAAAAAAGAAAGAATAGCAAATTTGACTTTATCCTATATTTAATTAAAATTTTCAAAATACTCTTGGTTAAAAATTCTACTCAAATAATCATAATTAAAATGTAGAAATATTTTATTAAATCTACAAATTTAACAATATACAGGGTGTTTCATAATATATGCGCAGGACTTCAGGACGTGATAGCTCGTCCAAAATTAGGAAAAAACGTTTCCATTAACTTACCCTCTAAAATGCACCATTTTCGAGATAGAGGGTGTTGAAATTGAAAAAAAAAATGTCTACGCCACTGGAAAGAGTACGGTTTTCAGACGCCCATTTGAACCGCCAATGTTTTCTACACAAAAAAGGTACTCTTGGTCATACGCTCTAAAGTCGACCGTTTTCGAGAAAAATCAAATTTTGTTTCATCAAGTGTGTATGACCATGTATTTCAACATTAAAATTTGATTTTTCTCGAAAACGGACTTTAGAGCGTATGACCAAGAGTAACTTTTTTGTGTAGAAAACATTGGCGGTTCAAATGGGCGTCTGAAAACCGTACTTTTTCCAGTGGCGTAGAAAAATTTTTTTTTTTCAATTTCAACACTCTGTATCTCGAAAATGGTGCATTTTAGAGGGTAAGTTAATAGAAACGTTTTTTTAATATTTTCATAAAACCAATTCTCTCACAGTATGTGTTTGCGTTGTTACTTATATTGAAAACTTTTCCTCAGACGATGCCATACAGTAGTTTGTTGAAGAATTGAAAATTTTCTGAAACGAGAGGTTGGATTTGAAATCTTATATTCGTCTTGACAATTTGAAAATCTCTGCTAGCGATAGCTTAATTGGAAGAGCGACCGTGCGTAGAACAAGAGGTGGGTTCAAATCCCCCCGCAGGCAGAATTTTTTCAATTTTTCATTAAATTTGTTTTCTCCTTAAGGGTTCAATAATAATTTTCATTATTTCGTAGGGGTAATATTGGGATTTGTTTGGGAATTTCCTGGGAATTTAATTTTATAGAAATTATTATGTAGATATTAGAAGTCTCGTAGAAGTATAATAATTATATGCTTCATTCATGTTGCTCCTGAACTATAAACTCCCTTTTCCCATTATCTTAGAAAATTAAGAAGTTTTCCCTCCCAAAAAACGGCCACTATAATACTCAGACTAAGGTGAAATTGGGTTATTGTTCCAAACTTGCTTATTACCCCAAATAATTTTTTTTAGCCACAACTGAAACTATTTAAGTTGCAATTCAACTAATTTAAATGTTTATCATTGAAAAAAAATCCAAAATTGTATCCTCAAATTATCAAAAATTCAAATTAGAGTGTACTTTTTTAAATAACAGTGCCATTAAAACAATAGAATATAATAATTGTATTAACCGTCACTACAACAAATGATTAACAAACAGCAGGTCACAACAGAATATAGCATGATAAAACTAATCTAAATTAAATAAGTAATCTAAATTCCTAATGAAAGCATACATTCACCTCATACAAACATACATCCACTTAATACTAATGCTAGTTACTGAACATAAATTACATTATTTCAGTGATTGGATGAATGTTCATCAAGCTTGGGCAATCAATTTCTAATATAATCCTTAAATTCTAAAACTAAATAAAATACAATTCTTTGAAAGAAGTTTTTTAAAGTAAATAAACATATTATTCAAATAATAAAAAAAAAAAAACTCAAAATAGGAAATGTACAGAATTAAAAAATAAATTGGGGTCTGAAATTGTATATCAAAAATTAAGTTAAATGAGAAGCCCCTTTATGTTTTTCATGTTTTAACTTTTTTTAGGTTTTCTTATGTATGAATCATGCACCAGCTGTTAGTATAATTCAGTCGACTTTGTGATTTTATTGGCGTATTTTCAATAGCTTCACCTCTCGAGCTTAGCATAGTCACACAACTTTTATTAATCTAACTCAACAGGCTATATTGATACAGATAATTTTCAGTAACATCATGGAGGACATGGGACATGTAGGATGACCAGTACGAGAAGACATGAAGTGCATTTGTGTTGAAGTGTATTTGTGTTAAAGTGAATAGACTGACTTGGATACATTTTGTAATAAATTAATGCAAGTCTCTTGTTTTTTTGTAAAAAATTTGTTTATTTTAAAGATTTCTATACAAAATTTTAAAAAAAATATCAACTTAGGATTTGCCTTGCATATAAAATTAAAGTTAATTGAATTGTTCTCATTTTGATAATAATAATTTATTCATCCAAAATATACATTATAATTAATCTTTCTCCATATCTTGTATCCTAGACTATTAACGTAAGTACCAATTCATGTATTATGTGAATAACCATCATCTTGCTTTGGTAGTAGACATAAATGTTTCTGTATTTCAATTAAATTTGCATAGACAAATAAAGGTCTGCATGAATATATAAATTGAGCATCTGATAATGGTGTTATTGATTTTTTTATTGATGGAAAATTATAATGGAATCGGTTGCAATACCCCAACCCCACAGTAATATTTTTTTAATTTGACCACAGATTTAATTAAAGAAATAAAACATTTTAACAAATTGAAGGACAGTTTAAAGTTGTTTTTAACTGTAAATTGTTTTTATTCTCTAGGAATTTATTGGCTGGAACAATAACACCTAATTTTAACAAAACTTATTATTTATCAACTTATTGTATCTTATGAGTATACTATGTTTGTGACTTATCTTATGTCATGTAAATGATACAAAAAGATCAATAAATTTATCTATCTATGTAAAATGGTATAAAATACATTGTTCTTAGAACATCATAACTAATAATGTACTTAAGTTGTCTTAAGAGAAACAAAGTGGAAGATAATGTACTTGCAACATAATTAATATGACTCAACCAGTTTAATTTATTATCTATATAAATGCCTAAAATATTAACCGATTTGTTTCTTGTTGTAAACAACATTTTTCGTGATGTTTCATTATTCAGTTTGAGGTTATTACCAGCAAACCAAATTTCAGATTTTGCTTCCATATGTAATGAATTGTGGATTAATTCATCAAAATTTCTATCTGAACCTTGTAGGGAAGCATCACTGCCAAAAAACACACAGTTTTGTGCATTTATGTACCTACTGTGCAAAACTATTTATAAATATTACAAATAGTAGCAGTCCCAAAACTGATCCCTATGGGAATTCTGGATTTGAGGGGTTGCGTTTATAAAAAACTGATTACGATTTTTAAAAAAGGACTTTATTAAATCCAGTACAGTACCTCTAACTCGATAATAATACAATTTTTCAAATAAGATACTATGGGAGACACAGGCCTTAGTTAAATCACATCCTGTAATATCTACTTGTTTCAAGGCCCTTGACTATGTCTTATACCACATGCAGAACTGCATCAGTTGTTGATTTATTTTGCCTGAAACTGAATTCACTAGTACTGAAAAATTTATTTTCTTCAAAATATTTCTTTAATTGGTTTTTTTAGGAAATATCCAATTATTTTAGAAAAAACTGACATTATAGAAATTGGTCTAAATTCTGGTCACCTTTTTTATATAATGGTATAACTTTGGATATTTTTAATTTATCACAAAAGACACCATTATGAAAAATTTAAGTTTATTAAATCAGTTAAGGGTAATAAAATCATATAGGTTTATTTTATATAAATATTAATTTTGTGAAAATTTAGAGAGTTAGAGTTATTCAATGAATTTCAATCAAGTGTAATGGGCTTAAGGACAAACAATTTACATGAGACAGGAAATATTTTATAGCCCAATGGATCCTCAATATTAACATCAGGTAGGGTAGTAACAAAGTCATTTGAAATATATGAAAAATATTTATTAAAATCATTCGAGCTGAGGAGAGTAAGTAAGACTATGAAAAAGAGAAACCTAAGTACATATGAATGGCATCAGGTATCAGCCACTCCGGCTGAAACCGGAATTCCGGATGCTAGCTGGACCAGACCACCAGAATTCAGGCCGAATCGGGACCTATACAGAAGAATTTCGTTATTTAACAAGTTATATCTAAAATATAAATCTTCGTAATTTCCGAAATTTAGCAGTTCTATACCAAAATATTTATAAAACTGGAAACATTCCAAAAACAAAAAGCAACTACAAGTTAGTTTACAAAATCTCCAAAAATTCACCAAATCATTCAACAAAATGAGCTCCAAATGAAACATAGGCAAAGCTAATTTCTGAGAATGAACTTCTTGTGATGTGCCAACATGTTTCTATACCACCTGTGGTAAAAGGACCTTGATTTACACCATTCCAGGTTATTGCAAACATGGCTTTAGAACTGTGAAATAGAATAAAGAGGAGATGCTATGACAATACTAGGAGAGTCCGTATCTTTTAGCTCTTACCACTGCCAGGTCACCTCTTATGACCATGCTCCGATTGGAAAATAATATAAATACTTGTATTGATGTAAATTGGACATTACTGTTTAATGGGTTCCAAAAACTTGTATTTGATTACATTACTCTTGATTAATTATTACATTACTCTTGATTAATTATTAAATTACTCTTAATTAATTTTATTACTGTACAAATTGTAATAATTATTAGTTGTAATTACCTACTGTTTATTACTATTATTATTTATAGTTATTTATGTATTATGATACTTTTACCCATGTTTGGATACAAATAAATAAATTACACATTTTGCTCTCCAGAAGAACAATGATGCAAAATTAATGATTCCGCAAATACCTATGGCAACGTAAAAAAATGTAATATGAAACTTACAACTAAGACATTAAAGAACAGTTTGGAATGTTTTCCTTGTTTTTTGCTTATATTTAACCTACCTATTTTAAAAATTATCGGAAGTACATTCCGGTCAGTAGGCCGGATTAAGTGGTACTACCAGAATTTTGGTATATTCCTAGTTTTAAATAATTAATACATTTTGCAAATTAGTCTTTCCCTTAATTTTTGAATCAATACATACCTAAAATTTCTTTAACACTACCCAAAATTTCCTCAGTCTTGCTTTTAAACTCAGTCCAACTGTCTTGTTCTGGATTAATTTCGCCATCATTTGATTCCAAAATCTTATCTACAAATTCCATAATATCCTCTTCCTTATCAACTTTCGTAGGTTTACATACTTCTAGATTAGTAGTACTCCATGAGTATGAAGTTGTAGTTTTTGTAACTGATGTTGATGGTATTTCATCATCAGAATCTGTAAGTACATATATCTCTTTAGATACAGTTGATTTTCCAACTGACTGAGATTTTGTAGCAGGTGGTTCGTCGTCATCATCCGATAATAAATGACTAGATTTAAAAAACGAATCTACTTTAGTTTGAATATTTTTCTGATGATTATCTTTCATTGCTTGAGAAAGATCATTTTCGCGGAAATCTGAATCTAAATTAATAACTTCTGATACAGTATTTTTAGCGAGTGTTCTCTTAGCTGGAGTTTTTTTAAAAGGATTTCTTTTATGAGCGCGTTTAGTATAATGTTTTAGAGCGGCATGTAGTAAATTAAAATTATCATTATCACTTTCATTTTCTGAATTAGATTCTTCAAAATTAGGAATCACGTATGCGGGTAGTACTTGTCTGACTCTTTTGCTTCTTCTACTCATTTTCTTAAAATATTTTTCTTGTACTACTTTATCTCTCTGGTGCTAATGTTTGAATTTTAAGGATTTTAACAGAATTTTAATAACGAACTATGGAAAAATATGAAAATGATGACAACTGACATTTAATGCACGATATTTTTCGATGTAAATATCGATATATCGGAACTAAACATCGATGTTTCATCGATTTTTCAATTTCGATATTTTACACATCGATATTAATAATGAATAGAACCTTTCACATGATCTCATTTTGGCACGTTGCTGTCGCCGCCTTTTAATTCCAATGTCAATGCTGATCAATGAGGTTTCCATGATGCTGATGCATCAATTAGGCATTCCAACGACCTGACAGTTTAGATATGGCAACCCTGTTGTCATGTTGACATTAATAGGGTCAATGATACATATATAGTTATATAGATTGCTCAAAGCTGGTCGTTTGCGAGCAGCCATATTGCCTGGCAAATATTTATTAATTTGAATCGGTTTAGCAAAAATCTGTTTTAAAACCAATTGTCAGCCTTTAGATATTTCAAAAATAATAACTGCTTACATTTTTACATCAAATCATAAGCTTATGTTTATTTTGAAAAATATGGATGATTAATCTATGGAACTGTTTGTCAAATCACCAGGCCTACAGGTTTGCCATAATTTTGTCATATCCATTGATAAGGCAACGTAAGGATACGTCATATGTATTATTTTTGATATACAAAAGTGGGACCGGTAGGCGTGGCTTTTGCACTCACTAAAATGGCGGAAGAGCAGAACCGGATTTACAAGTTTTTATTGTACTATTTCTGGTTAAATATCATTATTTGAACTATAAAAAAATTAATTTCCTTTTTATTGACATTGACTTAAAAGGTAGTGGAAGGCCGAGGTTATAAAAGAAGGGGGTTTAAAAGCTTAAATATGCCCGGTTTTCAGCCGAAAGGTGCTGAATAAAGTAAATGAAAGAAATAAAATATAACTGATTTAATTATCACTCAAGTGGCTATTAAGCGCTGGAGAATATATTATTTGCAAAATTGCAACTAATCAATGACCATCATATAACTAACTTGGGGCCGATTCCACCATTGGGTTTTAACGAAGTTTAATATGACATTTTTACATAAAATTTAATTTTAATCTTCAATTAATAGTTTAAACAAGTCACAGATGAAGTTAAAAGCAAAAGAGTTGAAATTGTAGGATGGTGATAAAGGGAGGCCGCAACATCTAGGTAATAAATGTTTATTGAGTTAGGAAAAGTATCCACTGTGCTTTTCTTAACCACTAAGGTAAAAACCAGAATATTTTCTAATACACAATTTCTTCTCTAGGCAAAATAAGAAATAAATTTGTGAGAGTACTTCCCAAGTGTTTTTCCAAAAGCTCTAAGGACAAAATTGACGAAAATGGCCTAATCCAAGTTCAAATTCTAAAACTTGAACATTAAAGATAAGTATCTTACTGTAAAACAAGTAAAACCCCCGTTGTTGACTAAATGGTTGAATAATTCATTACCTAGGTGGAGGTAGAACAGGGACTAGAGTTTAGCAGAAGAAGCTACTAGAAAAAGTGAACAAAACAGACTGGGGCATATGAACGTCAAGCAAATATTGTAAATGCAAATAATGTGTGCTGTGATTAAATAAAAGTGTACAAGGAATAAAGTTTTAATATTTTCTTATCCATATCTATGAGTGATATTTATTTTTAATACTAGACAAACGGTTTTGATTTTATTGCTAGTCTCATTAAAAAAAGACTGTTATTTTTTTTTTCGACTTATGGCCAAGGTGTATATATACCTAATATGCCAGTCTCAAGCTTGTGTTTAAATTCTTAATAATTGTGTTTTGTGTAGGCTTTGTTACTGTTTCCCAGCGCCACTTCAGGAACAGCACTGTTAATTATTAGAACCCAACAGTGAATGGTCGAGTGGGGAATCATACCAAGGCATTAGAAAATATTTTTTTTATTATTATTAGAACTTATATACAGTGTGTTCATAATATGCACTGTACAAACTTAAATATTATATTCCTGAATTCATTTCAAGCATAAAATGTCCTATGAACAAATATCCAATTCTACATGGTTACCAAGCTGCAAGAGTTTAAATATCAAAAGATATATTAACACAGTATGCCATGTGTTCCAATATGTCGAAACACAGCACTGCATGTTTGGTGCTTTGGAACTTGTCGGTATGGAAATCGTCGCTTGTTGAGGAGCCACAGCATAATAAATAACCAGCAGTATTACTCCCGCCCCTTTCTAAAAATAGAAATTTGACCTTGCTTATGTCACTTCGATTTAGAAGTCGGGGTCGGATTAGGAATATTTGCGAATTTTCGGCTATGTTGTGTCGGGAACGTATTAGGATGAATTTAGGAAATAAAACATTGTTTAATTGTTGACTTATTCGTTTGTTAAAGCATTTGTTTTTAATTTTCAGGTGTTTTTTTTGGTGAGGAATATAAAAAACACGTTTTTTAGATAACAAGTAGGTACATATTTTTTTTCCTTTAAAAAATATTTATATTACAATAGTACAAGTAAATACATTTTAAAATTTTATGCATGGCGCCATATAATTAACTTATTTTTATTAATATTATTAAAATTTTTATTTTTTAAAAGTATAATATAAACGAACTCTTAAATATAAATAGATTACAAATTTTTGGGAAAATGCGGGCACAAATGTGTGTACGAAATATCTTTGCAAATATTAATATACCGCTCACAAATTTTTGGCTCAGTTATTAAACGTTATAAAATTGCTTTGAAATATTGTTTCAATGGTGCTTTTTATTTGTGAAAAATCATCATGTGGATTTCTAAGGTTGCCATATGGGTCACACTGGGCATTCTGGTAATAACCTTTAAAAAATATATATAAAGATGACTCTTTTATCTCTTCACGTGCCTTTGAATATTGGTTGCAAATATCGCATGGCATTATAATATTTAATATTTGCTAAATGTAATAAGACAAGTGAAGATTATCACAATAAACTATTTAGATAAGAACATAAATAGATGTAACCCTCGGGTAAACTATTTTAAATAGTTTTTGAGAATGACATCCGAAAATCCCAATTTGAAAATTTAATATTCGCAATAAACTAATTAGAGACATAAATAGATGCAAACGGAAAACTTTAGATCTTCATTGCTTTAAATATTTTTATGAATTACGATAGCTGTATTTCTTAATTTAAAAATTTGTTGCCACAAAATAAACTAATTAGATAAGTACAAAAATAGATGCCTGCCAAATACATGATAGAACAATCTGCGACAAATGTTTTAATCCTGATATAGAAAATAATGATTCTTCTGAATAACTTATTAATTATATATTTTTTTATATTTTAAATAAAAAAAACTAAATAAATACTATTTAGGATTCGCATGATTGTTAATTTTTCAAAGCCGTAGATGTTTAAAGCACGGGAGCGATATTCTTCGATGCCCTTTTTTTAAGTAGTGTCCTATATAATTATAAGTAAAGTCCTTATAATAATATTAATAAGTAACTTTAAATAATACCATTTTATCAAAATTCTTATTTATTTTTTCCATTGAAAATAATACAAGAAAGAGTACAAGATAACAAATTATATGTTTTCATTATTTAACTATTTTAATTATAATCTAATACCATATCAAAATACGAATAGATGTATTTATATTAAATTAAACAAATTTTAGATTTCTAATTTGTAAATCAGGAGTTAATTTTTCTAGCTAGTTCATTGTCATTGATGAGCGATTTGTTATAAACTTTATAACATTCCTGGGAAATCTTTGACCAACCGGCTGCAGCTCTAATCGCTTCTATGTTAACTCCAGCTGTAAATGCCGCTGAAGAAACGGCATGCCTCAAATATGAAGGCTTAAGAAATATTCGTATTAGTGCCTTCTTTATTCTTTTCTTTATCTACCTTAAAACAATCTGATAGGATGCTGCATGGCAAGGCTTGCGATGTATAATTAGTAATTTTTTAATATTATCTCTTATTAATTTAGTTAAGAAAGGTATTATTAACTTAGGCTGATCATGACCTGGACCGGATGATTTCAATAATTTCGGCATTAATATCTCAATTTTCTCCCCCAGGTTACGAATATTCCCTATCTCTATTTTTGAAATAGTTTTTATCTTATGTGCTGTGCAAAGAGCAAGTAGTATAAGTATAAAGATAATGAGTAAGATAAAAGAGATTACGAGTACCACGTATGACAATATCTAGAAAATGTAGGACGAAGTTTGTATACTTTGACAAAATATTCAACACGATCTAAGTATTGAAAATAGAGTAACTTTAGCCTTTAACAAATTGTTCATTTAAAAATTCAATGATATTGTTTACAGAAGGACTTATTAAATCTATATTATTAATTTTACAGAACATCCACCATTTTCAGTACCTTCATACGATATCATGATAAGAGTTCTATAACCAAGGTAAGGCTCGGCCACAGGACAATAAATTTTTATTTTTTTTTTAATTAATTTTGGCCTACAGAGATAAAGTCACCAACAAGTAATTTCGTAAATATGGGAAACCATAGCTGCAATTTCCAGTAGAGTACTATGACCACCCCTTCTATACTTTTGTTATATTTTGAATACAAAAACTATAAATAAATACTATTTAGGATTCACATGATTGTTTATTTTTAAAAAGCCGTAATTAGAATGGATGTAGCTGCGAGAACAACGCGACCAACTATGCATGCTATTATTTTTGTTATTGTTGAATTTTAGGTCGTACAAAAAATAGTAGTGCTGATCCAATAGTAAACTGTAATTTAATAAAATATACTTTTTATATTTTGAATAAAGAAACTATAAATAAATACTATTTAGGATTCGCATGAATGTTTATTTTTAAAAAGCACAAACCACACCGTATTTTGCCTTCGAAGTCATATTGTAATGTTTTTCACTAATTTCTATAAACTAATAATACTAATACTAAATAAAAGTTAATACTAAATACTAAAGGTTTAAAACTATAAAAATAACTCCGCCACTGGCAACTAAACACAAATGAATAAACACAACAAATAAATCTAACCTCTCGCCCATGCAATCACATCCGCTACTGACTGGTTTAGAAAGGTTCTAAATCGAGCAACGTCTTGCGCGGCGAACTGCTCAGATGCGAAAAAATGGGGGAGAAATACTGCTGGTTATTTATTATGCTGTGGAGGAGCTGGATAATCTCGAGGTTTCCATGTTGGAGCAGTCGTTGTTGGTGACTACTGGCAAATGTTTGTATTGTATTTTCAACAGTCTCCACTTTAAGGTTCCTATGAAGATCAGTATTGTGGCAGTACCATGGTGCATCGACGATGTTCCTTAATACTTTATTCTGGAAACGTTGAATAACTTCGATGTCACTTTTACTGGCACATCCCCAAAGCTGGCGAATCGCTTCATTTTCACCAATTCCTTTAAACGCACTAATCTGAAACAAATTATAGGTAATTAAAAAGGTATATTAATATTGTTTTAAATTAACTATAATAAAACAAACAATACTCATGCATACACAAAACATGAAGCTCTACTTTTCAATCAGCTGTAGAACTAATAAATAAAATTGGTGGAAGGACCGCAAATGTAGGTTATATTTAAATAGAAATAAGAATATATAAAATGCCTATAAATTTGATAAACGAAATAGCGTACGATTAATGTACTTCTCAAGAAAATGCTTGGAACATATACAGCTGAATTTAGAAGGTTCCCAATTATGCTTCTTGACAAACTGTATTCACGCGCTACGTTTTTCAGGATTTTTTGGAAATCTATAAATATTATTTCGTATGAAAAAGTATTTATTCCAATATAGGTGGGCCCAAAAGTTGATAGATGATTTTTTTGCATTTTTAAAAGCATACTTTTACACATTTTATACAAACCTGTCATAATACTGTCCTGTATAATATTTATAATTTTGATACTAACCTATGAAACGTTATTCCAGTCGATTTTTCACAAAAACATCTATTGCTAGATCTCAAACGCAGCATGAGAATCCACATCGGATGCATCTGAGATGTAAAAAATCTTTGATCACGTGATTCAGTATACGCAAATGTAATGGGACAGATGTGTCCGATGTGGATAAAAAAACGCTCGAGATGTAAAAAATGCATCCGATCCGATGTGGATTCTCAAACGCGGCATCAAACGCAGCATATGTAGGCTTTGAAACTTAACATATAAGAAATTATGACGTTTAATTCAACTCATAATGCAAGAAAATCATGAAATGAACCATTTTGTAAGTACTCAAGTAATTTTAACAGTTGAAACTACACAAATTCTATTTAGAAATTATTTTTTATTTATAGTGTACATAAATTATTTGTAGTTAGTAATTGGTTTGCCGTAGAAATTAAGGTACTATTTATAAGGTTATTGGGGTTAGTTTTCTTTGTATTGAAAATTAATGGCCTATTAAATAGTTTATAAAGTACATTCGGCCGCTACATTTTTCAATATTCTTGTGCAAAAACAGACAGATACCCTTAGATATACCAGCCCTGACAGATACAATAAATATGACAGAAGGAATGACATTTATTTGACAGACCTTAAAACTTAACCATACTTTTATTGCAAATTTGAACTACTTTTAACGTATGTTAATTTTTTTGGAAATTTAACGTATGCGTTAATTTTATTTTTACAGAATTACATGTTAAAATCGTAAAATTTAACACCCGTTAAAAATAAACGTATTGAATTACAGAATTACCACTATTGTATGTTAATTTTTAGTGCTTTGTTGTTCTCTTTTCATTGTCTAAATATCAGGATGTTTAGACTCCCAGTTTAACATTTAGGAAATATATGTGTTGCATAACCTAGGACACAGTTTATTGCTAAAGAATCAGTCGGACCAGTTGAAAGTTCCAAAATAACATCCACTCCAGGGATACAAATTTAGGATACGCAGAAGACTGCTGTTTTATTATAGGGGTTGTCATATATTGTATTAGCCGAGTTGCGCAGTGTATAAACTGGAACATTGAGATCAAAAGTGCCGACGCAGAGTGAGTGATCTGATTATTTAGCTATAAACTGTGTCATAGGAATCAAAATGGCCGCGTGGTTTAGTCCACATACTTTGATTACTATACGAGGCAAGAGAGATGTCAGACACGCCCAACATAGGGCGCGGCCATTTTGAACCCTGTGACACAATGCAAAGTAGCCGACCTTGGACATAGAAGACAGGCAGTTAAATCTCCATCCAGGAGGTCGATTCTCGACTCGTAGGAATTTTTTCCTATAGGAATTTTTGACATCTTTCTATACATCTAAAATTTATGACATTTACCTACATATAGGAATTTGTGACACTTTCCTATAGGAATTTTTGACATTTTTATATACATCAAAAATTTATGACATTTTCCTACATATAGGAAAGTGGCACAAATTCCTATAGGAAAAGGTTCCTACAAGTCGAGAATTGACCCCCTGGAAGTTTTTTCAAAAACACTTTGGGAACAATTATTGGCATCTATTTTCGTTTTCTTAGGCAAATAATTTTTTTTAAATACTTCACCTACAGTTTTTCATTCATTTGTCGTTTCCTCTTTTTTTAACTATATTTTGCCTTTTTTGTAAGATATCCAAACAAATTAATTATTTTAATTTCGAGCATGCGCAATACACTTTTCCACTTTTGAAAAGTGTGTTTGGACCTTTAGACTAATTACCTAGTCTAAGGTTTGGACTAATCAACTTTTCAGACTAGTCCATCGGACTTTTCCCTAGACTTTTCCAAGCGGCAGTATGGAATATCACATAAGTTAATGGGATTATCGATATTCCCGATATTGTTGCATTGTATATGATAATGAAGCAGGAAATTGAGGGAATGGAATTATTCAAAAAAAAGTTCAATACATTTATTTTGACCATCAAAATATTGTTTTAACAAATTTTGGATAAATAATACATATAAAAATAAATAAAAGCATTTTTTGTCTTTACAAGCTAATGCTCATATTTTAGATAGAGAAATTAAAAATTCTTCCATAAACGGATTGCCTCCAAGTTTCTCGATTTCATCTTTGGCATCTTTTTGCAATTTCAATAAAGTTTGTCTGGTATGTTCGAAACTGCCATATTTTTCAAGTAAGGACACGCAGTACTTTTTCACTTCAGTATCTTTGGTTCTCTGACGAAGGATGTCTATATTTTAACTAAGGAATTTATTTGACTATATAGTTACTGAGTTTTGATCATCTTAAGTTAAATTGAGAAACAATTTAATATTATTTTTTTCTGATAAGCTGTTTTTTAATCAATTGACCATACATTACTATAAAAAGGATACGAATCACTTGTTGTTCATGTGGTTGACTCCTAATTGCATGAATTATTGGAAAGCTAAATTTTCCTTCTGTTAAATCTTCACAGTAACTTTTGTGCTGCATGTACTGGAAATTAAAAATAACACATTTGCATTATGAAATTTGTTTGAAGAAACGGACTATAAACTGTAGAAAGAATTAATAGATGGACTATGTAACCTATCGCACCCAGGTACCTTAATAATTTATTATTTCCATTTATTAAATATAATATTTCATTTAACGAAAAATCTCCCAGATAATTAAATCTTATTTACGACACCTAATAAATAATATATATAACCACGTCCGTAAAAGATCCAAATTTCGTGCACGTGTATGGGAACCAGCTCAAGAAACCACCAAAAAACATATTTCTTTTCACGAAGTAATTTCGATACACAAAGCTTTCAAGGCAAGTAATAAATAAGCCACCCCCTTTGCACCCACAGTATTTCGCTGGGAACTAAAGACATAGAGACGTCACAAAAGCCATTAAAATTTAGTATAAGACCCAAATGAGCTCGGATTCATTCATTTTTAATTATTTGATGTGCGTGCATTCATTTTTAATTATTAGATGTACATGAATTCATTTTTTGTTATTTGATGTGCAAGCATTCATTTATTATTTGTATCCAGTTATATTTCAAGTTCAGTAGTCAGTACCTTTCCTAAATGTTCTTCCTAAACAACGGAATAGGAGCTATTGTAGGATAATAGCTCCTATTCTCGAACGCTGTCAACGTCCCACGCCTTATTTCCAACGCTTGCCGCCCCTAAATATTTCCTTCATAATATCCTTGTCGACACCCTTCGTCACGTCCCGCACCACCTACATAATTCTACCGTATATCTGTCCCAATGCAGTACCGTATTAAATACCTTCCTTTCCACAACGACGCTAGGCGCATCGACGCGAGTCAGCGCTGCGACGTACCTAAATCGACGCCATCACAACGCTAGATTAATCTAATGTCTGTATTTTCAATGGTGAGTCAAAAGATTTATGTAACTTACTTTGAGATACCACTGGGGTTTCGTTTAGACGAGGGCTTTTGACATTTTCTACAAAATATTATCAATTTAACCAACAAACCACATGGCCTTCAGGTCATACACCCCGAAAGACAGTAAGGATACACATCTGTTTTTGATGGGTGAAATTTTGAGTATTTTAATAGAAATTATAAAAATCAATATTAAGAAATATGCAGGGTTGTATTAAGTTACTTCAATAGAAATTATAATAACCAATATTAAAACATATACAGGGTTGTATTAAGTAATTTCAATAGAAATGATAAAAATCAATATTTTAGAAATACAGGGTGTTAAAAAAAAGTGTCACAAAATAAAACGGAGGTAGTATGGGCCAAAATATGCAGAAAAGTCTTAATAAACATATGTCCGCAAATGAATGGTTTCAGAGATACGGAGTGTTTTGTATCATTTTTTGATTCTTTTTTCATTCTCAAAAACTTGCTTTTCTTATCGGAGTCTACCGATGTTTTTTCATAGATACTATTTGCAGTTATTATTTTGTTGTGGGTGAATAATTTTATAAATTTTCGTTATGCCTGTTTACACTAATATTGAATTAGCTGACATGCATTTTATGTACGGTCGTGCAAATGGCAATGCGAGGGAAGCGCTACGTCAGTATTTGAACATCTCATTTAACTCTATGTTGTTATTGATTGTTTATAAATATCATTGTTTTTTTATAATAATAAAAAATTGTTATAAACACAAAATGGTCCGTATCTCCGAAACCGTTAATTTGCGGTCATATATTTATTAAGACTTTTCTGCTTATTTTGGGTCATACTATTCACCATTTCATTTTGTGACACTTTTTTTTAACACCCTGTATACAGCGATGTGCTATCTTGGATAAATTGTACAAACCAAGATGGTAAAGTTTAATAGTAAGTTAACCAACTGGTGAATACACTGTTACTTAGCTCAAGGGGGACACCTATATGCTAAACAACCCGTTCTACTAGGTTTGAAACAAAGTATGTGTGAAATCAACATAGTAAGGTAATTAACTGGCTAATTGGCGCTGTTCGTTACTTCCGTTGGTCATCACCTCTATTGGTCATCAACCTAAATAAAATATATATATTGATAGCAAATTAATATGGTCTGCGTTTGAACAGGACTCAAGCGAGATCTCAGTAAATAGTACCAATTGTAATATACTTTGCTAATTATTTAAAAAAGAGTTTAAATATGAATTTATGTTTTATTTATCAATTTGCACCAAACTTTGCATCGAATCCTGGTTTACCTTAATTAACATTATCACAACGTGGGTATATAAATTATCAATTTAAGTAACTAGACGATCACTTTTACTACTAGAGGAAAAAGGCCAATTACAGTAAGTATATAATTTAAAGTAAAATAAACTTGTGAGGTAAATAATAACATTTTAAAGAGTAAAACAACGAACAAAAAGGGCGTACCGGGGGTGGGCCGTTACAACTATTTTTGTAATACTTATATAATGCAAATACTGTAGGTATTAAAGATGTGCTCAAAATTACAAATTTAAAATTTTATACTTACATCTTTAGATATTAGATTAATATAATCATCTCTAATTTGAAATATGAGACCTAAAATTCCAGTAATTATTGTAAAATCCTGTTTGTTATCACTGAAAAGCTGCATTAATCTTATAGCTAACATAAAAAGACCACCAGTTTCTAAAAATAAAAATAATGAGTTTTACTTCATGTGATTTAAACTAGGGACATCAGATAGTTTAAAATCATTGTCAAATTTCAAATAATTTATAATGAATATTTACTTCTTATCACCATTTGCTTATATTCCTCTTCACTTGGACAATGAAAATTGTCCCGCCAAAATATTTCCATTCCTTGACCCCTGTATAGTTCTAAAATTTGCTCTAAAGCTATCGAAATTGCCTAAAACATTCAAAATATTGGGTAATAAATTAATTCAACTTTATTTAAATGATAAATGAGGAGAAGTATAAATGTGTACAACTACTCTACTAATCCCTAGAATGAAGCATCATATTTTCCTGGCTGTAATAGGAATTTTATGTGTGTGCACATCAAATGAAAATTTCGAAACTTACTTGAGGATGGTTCAAGTCATTTACACGTTCTAAGGCAATAAAAGATGTATAATTTGCACTGTTTATAGTACTAGCAACACCATAAATTGAATGTGCCACAGGAATACCTCTTCTTAATATTGAATTATCTTGGATATCATCAATTCTAAAATTGAAAATATAAACGATAACATATTTTAAATCCAATAATTTGTTCAGCTTACAAAAGACTAGAATTATGTAATATTTGGACAATATCTGAGATTTGAGTCAATTTCTCATCAGGAATATGCAACCAGTAATTAAACGCACTGGATAGTTTAGACCTTATATTTTTTCCAGGAACTTGAAGAATATAACTGAAAGGCTCCAACAATTTCTGTAAAAAAATAACAATCATAAAAAGAGAATTTTATTTCTACTATTTATACTGCAGTGGTTCCCAACCTGTGTGTCGCGACCCCCCAATGGGAAATATATTCATTCAGATTACATATCAAAGTTTTGTAGTGGACTAGTAAACACTACCAAAAATATCACTTAAGGACTACAGTAAAAAACGTCTGTAGAGTTTGTACAGATAATCTACAAATTGGACTTTCAAACAAAAGTGAAAGAACTTGCTCTCCGAGCAAAGGTACTCACTCATGATTCATCTATATGATCTTGCCAATAAGACTATTCCACTCCTCTACAAGAGAAAGATATTACTGGCCACCTTAAATTTCAGCAGTACTTCCCTGAGCTTAGAGAAGAAGAATGGAAGGGGATTTTTAACACTTCTTCATATCGAAACAAATAAACACTCGGCCACAATTTTTTTTAGCTGGTTACCCAAATATTAATTAACTCTAGAGTTAGTTAATTAACTATTATGATGGCGTTATATTCTGAAAAATATGTTTTTAATGTTTTATTTGTCCTATTGAAAATGTCATTTTATACGAATGTGGCGGGTGTCACACGTTACTTAGCAATTGTAAAATGGGGTCGTGACTTGAAAAGTTGGAAACCACTGATTTATAGAAATACTTTCGCCCAAAAACAAATCAGATGGTAATTTTTTTTTTTCATTGGTGTCTTTGGCTTCAACAACTAAGATAATTAGCCTCGTGTTCTATGTAGGTTATTTATTTATTTATTTGTATCCAAACAGGCAAACGGCCTTATTACATGGATAAGTATCATAATACATAAATAATAATAATATTAATAAAAAACAGTAGGTAATTACAACTAATATTACAACTTATACAGTAAAGTAATAATTAATCAAGAGTAATGTAATAATTAAATACAAGTTTTCGGAACATATTAAATGGTAGTGTCCAATCTACATCAATACAAGTGTTAATATTATTTGCCAATCAGAGCATGGTCACAAGAGGTGACCTGGCAGTGGTAAGAACTAAAGGAATATTAAACATACATGGATGTCTCATTCTCCTCGGAGGTACATTAAATCGTATTAAGTATAGTAGCTCAGGTGAGTTAATTTTATAGTTAATAATCTTTCTTTATATATATAAAAATTTCGTTCGCGATAAACTCCGAAACTACTGAACGGATTTTGATAAAATTTTGTAACCATTTATAATATCCAACTTAAAAGATAGAATAGTTTTTATTCAATATTTATTATTGTAAATTAAATGTTTATTATACGACATTAGTGTGTAAACACGATGTATGTTCGGGATAAACTCCGAAACTAATGAACCAATTTGGATCAAATTTCATAACTATCGGTAATTTGGTCCAACTTAAAAGTTAGGATAGTTTTTATCTCAATCATAAGAGAAACGGGAGTTGAAAGAGGGGAAATAGGGAAAAGAGGGGAAATGGGGGAAAGAGGGGAATGGGGAAATAGGGGAAATGGAGAAAAGAATGGAAATGGAGAAAAGGAGGAAAATGGTAAAATAAAGGAAAGGTGTAGGGGTGAAAGTTTGTATGGGGCTATCGATTTTTAAAAGGTAGGAACTTGAAAATTGAAATTGTAGGAACTCATCATAAATAAAAAGACCTTTTTCAGGGTATTTAGATTTTTACACATTGAGGAAAACGGGAGGTAAAAATTTAACTATGACTTTCGGTTTTTTTAAAGTAGGACCTTGAAAATTGGAATTGTAGCCACTCATCATAAGTAAATAATGACGTATTTCAAGGTTTTTGGATTTTCACATATTAAGGAAAGGGAAATGGGGTGTATCGTAAAAATAAATAAAAATGAATAAAAATAAATAAAAATAAATAAAAATAAATAAAAATAAATAAAAATAAATAAAAATAAATAAAAATAAATAAAAATAAATAAAAATAAATAAAAATAAATAAAAATAAATAAAAATAAATAAAAATAAATAAAAATAAATAAAAATAAATAAAAATAAATAAAAATAAATAAAAATAAATAAAAATAAATAAAAATAAATAAAAATAAATAAAAATAAATAAAAATAAATAAAAATAAATAAAAATAAATAAAAATAAATAAAAATAAATAAAAATAAATAAAAATAAATAAAAATAAATAAAAATAAATAAAAATAAATAAAAATAAATAAAAATAAATAAAAATAAATAAAAATAAATAAAAATAAATAAAAATAAATAAAAATAAATAAAAATAAATAAAAATAAATAAAAATAAATAAAAATAAATAAAAATAAATAAAAATAAATAAAAATAAATAAAAATAAATAAAAATAAATAAAAATAAATAAAAATAAATAAAAATAAATAAAAATAAATAAAAATAAATAAAAATAAATAAAAATAAATAAAAATAAATAAAAATAAATAAAAATAAATAAAAATAAATAAAAATAAATAAAAATAAATAAAAATAAATAAAAATAAATAAAAATAAATAAAAATAAATAAAAATAAATAAAAATAAATAAAAATAAATAAAAATAAATAAAAATAAATAAAAATAAATAAAAATTAATAAAAACTAATAAAAATTTAAAAAAATTAATAAATATTAATAAAACAACAAAAATTATCAAAAATGAATAAAAATGAATAAAAATGAATAAAAATGAATAAAAATGAATAAAAATGAATAAAAATGAATAAAAATGAATAAAAATGAATAAAAATGAATAAAAATGAATAAAAATGAATAAAAATGAATAAAAATGAATAAAAACGAATAAAAATTAATAAAACATTTTTTCAGGTTTGAGAAATTCCAGCGAAGCGGAATCGGGTCAGCTAGTTTTATATAAAAAAGTCAACATTATCATATTCCTTCTGGTGTGAAGGGAAGGTATTTTAAATTATTTTCTTAAGTTTTTTTTCAATCTCATATAGATTAGTTAAATGTTCCCCCATCCATACCTCAGCTCCAAATTCAAGGATTTGTCTAACTAAAGCATATAAAAGAATTTTTATAGATTCTATGTTAGTAAAACTTCTAGTTTGCCTAATTATGAACCACAGCATTCTATTTGCAGCCTTAACTATATTTTTTACATGATTAGAAAAAGATAGAACACAATCATAGGTTATACCTAAGTCTTTTACCTCTGTACGTCGTTCGAGTACTTCCCCATTTATAAGATAATCGAAAATAACAGGATTTTTCAATCTACTTATTGTCATAATACTACATTTTTTTGTATTGAATTTTAATTTATTTTTATAACACTTCATTTATGTTGTTTATATCTTTTTGTAAACTCACACAATCCCTAACAGTTTGTATTTTTTTAAAAATTTTAAGATCATCGGCAAATAGAAGACAGTCTGTAAACCTCAGCCTAGATGGTAAATCATTGATAAAAATTAAAAAAAGGAGGGGTCCCAAATTGGAGCCCTGTGGCACTCCACTATATGCTATAAATTTTCCCCATGTGTTCCCATTACTTAGGCTTAACAATTGAATATCTATTTTCTAGGTAGCTCTTAAATAGTGTAAGAATACTAAATTGTCAAACCAAATTTACTCAGTTTTAAAAGCAGGATATCATGATCTACCTTATCAAATGCTTTTTTAAAGTCTGTGAATATTACATCAAGTTGGATTTTGTTTTCAAGTGCTTCATAAGCTGTAGTTACAAAACTAAACAAATTTGTACTTACACATTTTTTTGAGACAAAACCATGCTGCTGGGATACCAGACTGCTCTCAACATGTTGATATAATCTTGCATACAGTATATGTTCATATAATTTAACAGGGGCTGATAAAAGTGATATGGGCCTAAAGTTTTCGATTTCAATTTTATTTCCAGATTTAAATATAGGAGAAACTAGTGCAGTTTTCTGTAAGTGTGGAAATTCATTTGTTGCAAAACTTAAGTTGAAGATATGAAGTAAAGGTAAAAGTACTCTAATACTCCTACACCCATACAAACAGGCCTTGTTACTGTTTCCTTGTGCCACTTTAGGAACAGAACTGTTAATTTAGAACCCAACAGTGAATGGTTGAGTGGGGGAATCCTGCCAAAGCATCAGAATTAATTTTTAATAATTAAATTAAATAAAAAATCCCGGCCAATGGTGGGACTCGAACCTGGGACCCTTGGATCTGCAGGCAGAGGCTCTACCACTGAGCCACCCACCCCCTGGTAAAAAGTTTAAAACAATAAATCCTTTCATTTATATTTTTATTAGCACTTAAAATGACTCGGAATATAGAAAAAATTACCTACAAATCCTTTGAATAAAAAAAGGTAACAAAAAATAATTGAAAAAAACTAGCTGTGTCTAAGCATACAACACAGTAAGAGTAAGGGAAAAGTTCTGCTTACAGAAGATGTTTAACGTAAGCGGAGAAAAATAAGATTATTATCAGGGTTATGATGTTATTTTTAACAGATACGTTATTTTTGAACAGGTTGTTATTTCTGTGTGTTTATAAAATAACAGACCTGTTAAAAATAACACAGGTCGTCAATCATAACCCTCTATGTTTCATACATTTCTCTTTGCAAATGTGTTAAAAATAATGATTTTTCAGGGTGCATATAACTGCATATTAGAATGTAGTTTTAAATTCTAATCAACTTTTCTTCATAACAGTTTTTGATATTAAAAATAAAAATACATATACTTTAATGCTAGGTAAAAATAATATTTTCTGATAAGACTTATATCACTGGAAATGTCGATTTCTGATAGTATTTTAGATTTTAGACTATGCAGAACTTTTTATGAAGAATAACTTTTTCTTTAAGATTAACAATTTAGTCATGCTGTAAAAAGCAAAAATTTGTAGCCATCGACATGGGCTTTAAAAAATTATACATATAATTGAAAAAAAAAAAAGAAAATTCTTCCAGATGAAGAGCAAACTTGTGCAACTGATGCCTTGGTTTCTTTGAACACTTCGTCGCGGTGAGCAGACAGTCCGTCAACCGTCGCGTTTTGACGATTTTATCCAACCAGAGTATTTAAATGGGAATGGTTTTCTTGAATCCGCTTAGCTGAGCAGGACGGCGTCATGCCGCTGATTTGTCGCGAAGAGTCGGTTGATATCTGTTGAGTTTGATATCAGCGGAATCGTCGGCGTGTGCGGAGACTATATTGTTATTAATTTTAAAACAATGGGTGACAAATTCACACATACAAATGACATCGTGACTTTATTTTTAGATTTCTTGGAAATTATGTCCTTTATAAAACTCAACACGAATTCAAAAAGATCTGTAGAAAGTCTAAAATACTCCCTAAATTTGGTTTCATTTCCAAAAAACCTCAGCTGCACAATGATATTAAAGGCACCTTCTATATCGCGACACAAAAACAACTCATCCACTGGCTTATTGGAAACTTTGACGGTTGCAATTGCCAGTTCCTCTTGTTCTTCCTCTTCCAACAATAATAACAACGCAAACAATTTATTTGCATCCATTTTAGTACCTTTCGTTTACATTCATAATACATAAACAGCACGTACAGACCTAGAGAAAGTATCATTTTCTATATTTTTTAACAAACCACCTCGGGCGAAAATTGCTGTCCTCAGCGGTCGACGGACTGTCCGCTCACCGCGACGGAGTGTTCAAAGAAACCAAGGCTTATAATACGCTCAAAAAACGTATTGTTTTATTTTCTCTGATTCTGTCATGCATTCTTCACATAGATACCATGAGCCACAGAATAATAAGTCACACATTATTCCCTCAAAGCCTCCTGATTACAGTTATTACGGTACCCTAATCCTAGACAGAGTGAAAAAACTGATATAAATCAAACAAAGTACACTGTGAACTTGATTATCTTATCAAACGCTTTTGACAAAAAATTATACAAATATTTGAAATTACATTAAATTTTATACAATCCAAATATATTTTGGGTAACTTTTCATTTTATTTGTTTTTTCTGGCTTTGGCATGCCCATCAAGGCATGCTAAAAGTTATGCCTTACTCTCCTTAAGCTGCACAAGACTTTTAAATGTTTTTATTGCTTTATATAGGTATGTAGGTACAATTGGTTTTTTATTAATGATTTGTCATTTTGCCAAGCTGAAATACTTTTAGAAACAGATAATTAACATTTAACTCATAAAAAATAAAATAAAACCAACACAAATGTAACTTTTAGATATTTTTATGAAAAAAAAAAATTCTCCAATAATTATTTAATGTTTCTTACCTTGTCCTGTTCTGGATCATTGGTCTTACTAAAAGGCAAATTCGATCTAGTCGTTGGTTCAGACATTTTGAAGATTCAATAAAAACTTTTTAAGTGAATAATTAATAACTATAATATCACAGTATTTAAACCAAATATTATAAATTTGGTGAGGTTATGAATATGAATTGAGAATTAAAATTAAGCACAGATAAACGAAAATAATACATACAACACTACTATTTACAGCCGAGTTTTGCAACACATTTGAGTTGGTAGCCGGTTTTTCAGGTGTTTTTTTTTCACTTATCTTTATTGTTTTTTGTTACCTTGGCCTTGTACTAATATGTAGTTAGTTCAAAAAAAACATCAGATAAAAACAACCCATGATATTTAAAATTTTATCTTAATTTGTTTCAAATTAAAATTTATTTTACTAGTAGCAAAATGGTTTTTAAATTTATTGTAATTTTTAGTTATAAACGGGTCTGCGTAACTTACGTCTCCGATTCAGTGTGGCCAGATTGGGCTATTTATCGCAATTTGAGCTACTTTCTAGAAATTATTGCGACAGTTTTTTTAAGAAAATCGCACTGCGATTTTTGGGCTACAATTTTAAAAATATTGCGATTTTTTGCGAATATTTCTTCTTGTTTACCCTCCTTAAATGCAGTTGTAGTTTTCTATAATGAACATTGCCAAAACCAAAATTCAAAATAGGTATAATGATGCTTTCCCTTTAAAATGCTATTATACAAATTTGATACTATTTCTCAATAAATGATATATATGTTGTAAACATTTTCAGCTTATTATGTCAAGATATGTTGTTAAGATTTAATGCCGATATGTGTAAAAATTTAGAAGGATATACACACGTTTCAGATAATGATAATGTTTATAAAATATTAGATGAAATATATTTTAATTAAAAAAACATTAATTAGGTATGTAAATGACGTTTTTTGTTGGTCCTATTGAAAAATATTATAAGTTTTGTCCTCGCAAGTTTATTTGAACATATATTTTTTCACATGTAATATAAAAAAAATTAAAAAAATCTGTGTGACGTCAAAGGTCAAAGTTATATTTATATTTTTAAAATGCTGTTTATATTTTAAATTTTTAGAGTTAGCGCTGGCGCTAGAAATTACGATTTTGAGCGATTTATGAGGCACTGGCAACATTGCTATTTTGGTCGACATGTGACAGCCAATTTGGCGACAAGCATCCGCGGAAATCTGGCTACACTGCTGTTCTGTGACACTTGGCGCGTTTTATTGCTCAATCTTTTGCCACCGGAGTGGAAAGCCTGAACAGGATGAGCGTTTTATTGGCCGTGTTCATCGTCGTCAAACATGTTGTAACGCTGAGTAAGCGGTGACGATGAACTGTCAACCGCTGCAGCGCTTTTGAAGAAGCATGAAAGCGAAAATAAACTCGCTTGTTTGCTTTAAAAGCATAAAATTGACCTTGAACCCCTGTCAAATCCGTCTTTTGGCATTTTGTTAGGTTATGTGTTTGTTTATTTATTTATATTTTTAAGGTTTTATACCCTAATAGAGTTGATTAGTTAAGTTGTATTTTAATATATTGTATTTATGGAGATACCTATTTGAAGAAAATAAAATTAATTCCAGACGTAGATACATACACGTATGCTTAAATTATTTCATTTGGACGTTAATGGGATTCCACCAGTAAGGAATATGGATAATATAACATACCTACATATTATATAGTTTTAGCACAGTTATTCAAAACAGACGAGTTTTGGTATTAAAACTGCACCGATGTTTTTGTTTTCATGTAATGTATATAGGGCCAAAAGGGCATTAAAAAATAAATAATAATAATAAAAGTATGACATTTTATTTACAAAATAAATTAAATATAAGCAATTATATTAAAAAGGTCCCAACATGGTTTGTTGAACCTTTAAAAAAATACCTCATTACTGTATACATTTCAAATAATTTTTGCTAATAAGTCGCTCTACCTATATGACAACATTAAGTTTGTATATTTATTAATTTCCAATACAAAATATATCATTCCTATAAAAGAATTAATGTATATAGTTTGTCGATAAGGTATGTATAACTCTATAATACTAGACAAATTTTATTAATACATAAAAATAATTCAGACTCAATATGAATATTAGCAATGACCAAAAATGTATAACACCTAAGTACCTAAATCAAAAATACTTTGTAAAAAAATAAGTAAAGCATTAGATAGGGATTATTTTAACAATTTTCGGTTTTTGTAATAAAACGTTATCATTTCTTACCTCACAGCAAGAAGCCTGTAAATTTTAAAAGACAACAGCAATTTTTCATTATTTTTAATGTAGAATAACAACAGTAAGATTGTAGTAAAAGTAAAACAATAATATAATAAAAAAATGTATTAAAAATAAGTGAAATAACATAATTTTGTTTATTTATTAGAAATTAGAAAAGCGAAATAAAACTTGTTTAGTGGGCTGATTTTCTATATTTTAGTTTTTAAATGGGAATGGAACTGTTGACGTGACTTGTTTATGTTATGCTTGGCTTTCAATACTGATACTTCAAATTAAGTAAGTTTTTTTCACTAGCACATATTTATATGAGATACCACTCTTTTTTGAAAAATGTTTTGAATCAGATCACGTTTTCTTTTAAAGCGGGACATTCTTGCATTCTTTGGGGACAATGGAACACATAACTTGAAAGTGGGTTTGTCTTGCCTAAAGCGGGACTTATGATGTTAGGTATGACTCAAAAATAAAAGTTTACTTCAGGTTGATTTTCATTTTTATCTCTTCCTCCTTTTTCGAATCAGTTAGTTTTGAACTGGTTTGAGACACATGCCTCAAGTTCTGGGCTGGAGTCCAGTTTAAATGATTACTAACTTTGAAGGAATTCTGTTTCCCTAAAAATAAGAAAGTCATACTTGATGTCTCTATTATTAAACACTTTTATGTATCCTTGATATATGTAAAAAGATCACTTTTTGATATGTATGTTATTAGTATCATGAGTTCCTTTAATTTATTGGTGCAGACCAGACAGTTGATTAAACACAATAAATAGCATTCTCTTTCTGCTCTTCAAAGTATGATCTAGTTACAGTATGTTTTTATTTGTGTGTCAAAAAAATGTATTTTACCTTTAATAAAATGACTATTACAATTTCTTTGATTAGTCTAAGTATGTAGAATTCAAGATCCATAGAGGCAATAAAAACATCATGACTTTACAACCCAAAATAATACAAGTTGTAGGTTTTTCGCCGTAAAATTGTCAAAACCACTTTCAGAAGGGTACTTATATAAACTCTAATTCACTGTACAAATCAATTCAACTCAATTTTTTTAAAAAAATACTAAAGTAAACAATTCACATAACCTTCTTTGTGCCAACCAAATGTCATTCCATTTTTTGACAGATTTGAGGTTGAGAAAACAAATCGTAAACAAAAATGATCGTTCAGCGTCATTCCAACCGCTTATGAAACATGTTTCTTTGCTTTTAAAACATGTTTGACGACGATGAACACGGCCATTGTGTCGATTGATTCATTCCGCTCAAACTTCTCATTCGGTTAATTTTGACCGAATGAAGGGAATGAAAAAAAGTGGGGGTATTGGTATATCAAATTCATGTGCCAAACATACTTTATTAGTAAGGTTATGAGTTATAATACTTATAATTTTTAATTATTTTTTGTCATCGTAAAATTTACCCGATCAAACGAACTTGTGAAGTTCGATCGTAATTATATGAGGCGCTTCGTCCGAATAGATTACTTTATAATAACTTAGTAGTACCGGTTTTCGGTGCTAGATGGCACAACGTTCAAAGATAAAAAAAAAAACTTCTTTATCGGTTAAGTATGCTTACCTACTTTACCGATCCCTTTCACACGTCATAAAGTTTAAAGCAATTCAAAATTTGTTTTTCGATGTATACCTACCTGAAACAAATACAAATGGGTTGGGTAAAAATGGGATGGGAAGTAATCTATTCGGACGAAGCGCCTCATATAATTACGATCGAACTTCACAAGTTCGTTTGATCGGGTAATTATATTCGGCGCTTCGTCCGAATAGATTACTTTATAATAACTTAGTAGGCTGTTTAAAGTTACATTGTTTCAGGCTTAGGAAATGTATCAAGGTTATACAGTATCTTCTTTGATATTTCCTAGAAAAACAAAAGCTATTGTTTTTAAGCCTATGGTAAAAACAAGCAAAAATTTTATAAACAATCTAACCTACTATGTAAACAGAAAAAGTATCTTTTTTAAGATTCTATGATGAGAATGTAAAACAATTAATACCTAATTATTGCTTCTGCAAATCTGGATTCTTCCAGAGGCCTGTTGTAAAAATTTATAAAAGCTTTCCACAGAATGTCTCCTGGAATAAGGCAGAAAATCTAGCAGTACCTACCTATTTATCTGCGTCGCTGCTTTGTCTTTCTTAAAACAATTTGATGTATGTTTTAGGTTCCCACTTTTAGTATGGTGGTAAACTGGCAATTAATAAAAATTCCTAGTTTTCCTGATTTAAGCTTTTCATTAATTAATATAGGTACTCTACCGTTTATGTACGATGCTCTAGCTGAGTAGTAGCGATGCAGATCCTAGAAGATTTTCTACGAGATATTACCAACTCCAACAAATCTTACAAGTTTTAGAATCTTTCTGTTTTGATGTTTTTATGAGCACTGGAATTAATATTTGGATCAAACCTGTGATTACGATATTTTGTATTTTATTAGTTTGTTTGCATAGCCAGTTATTATCAGGGAAATTAAGATTGTGGTCTTTTGGACTAACTATTCCAGTGACAACTGTTCTGGTAAATTATTCAAATAATCCAACACTTTTCAAAGATTTCAAGAAAAATTATAACGTGATTTTGTAGGCCTTAACTTAGACATACCTTTTTGTGTGGCATTTTACATTTATATCGGCTTCAATATGTTAGCTTTTAGGTATTAGTAAAATATATTACTAACTACACTAACGAAAGCTTGTTCGTATAGCCCGCTGCGTTTTGTACAAAATTTATTACTTATTTTCTACAAGAATAATTCCACCAGGCCAGACCGCCATGCCCTAAGGGGGGCAACTGTATTGTAAAATATTTTTTGATAGTGAGTTTAGCATTGTATCACCTAGGCCTACCTCGGGTATATTTTTTAGACTAAATCCTTGTTGGATAGTTTCTCCAATCGGTCGCCGATCTGTGGGTGTGCGATTACCTCAAAAGATGTTACTGTTAGAAACCAGGGTTGTGTTGGTCAGTAAGAGACAATCATTATTCCTGAAGACTTATTAATGATAATTTTTCTTAGTACTTAAGACTATTGGAAAAGGAGGAAATGCATAGGTTTTAGTTGGATACAAATATATTTCTAGGTATAGTAGAGGAGTTCCATCTTTTCTTGTTACGTATTTTATTAAATACTGACTTATCTAACTCCCATATTGTTTCCAAAGAAGTCTGACACGTGACCCCTATCTGCTTTATTTTCTACTGAACAAATATAGGTATATGAAATGTAAGTAGAAAAGATGCGCATATAAGTACACTATGCTTGAATCCAGTAATTTTTTGATTCACACCAGCTCCAAATCTTTAGCAAATATAATATATTTATTGTATTAAGTCAATAGAAAATGTATTTTTTATGGTAAATAAATATTATTATAACTTCATCCATATATTTATGATTTATAGATACCTACTGTCCTTTTTTGTTTACTTACAAAAATATATATAAAGTGGTAGTGGTTATCACACCTCACGAATATATTTGCAAAATTACAATTTTGAGCAAGACATTTTTGGGGCATAATAGAATGCAACAAACTATAAATGATTACAATATGATATTCATATTATTAATAATTGTTATCGTATTCTTCTCCTAGAGCTAAAACTTTTTCTTTTTCTAAAGACTTGATGTATAAACGACTATATATTTTTCAGCTGGCATAGCAGATACCAGGAGATCAATAACAGGAGCAAAAAACCTTATTTTTCATTATTTAATTTTGTGACTGCTTTGAAACTAATCATTTTCTTTTCTTCGGCTAGTAGGTACAATCGACATAAGATTTTCAGTATTTACAACAGTGAAGGCTAACCCTAAAAAATTTATAATGTTTGCTAGGAACTAAACTAAGTACTTTTTTGAAGTTCATTGTGAATCCAAGATTTTCCAAGTTTCCTATTATAATTTTAGTTTGTAAAGCATATAATTCTGAATTCGCCATTATTAGACCATCGTCTAAGTAAACTGAACAACTAAATGTCAATTTCTCTTAAAAAGGCAAATGTTTTCATAATTTTACTAATTAAAGATATCTTAAACATTTTGTAGATTTATGAATTGGTATTTGGAAATTAATAGCCATCTTTTAAGTCTGTACACATCGAGATAGCCAACAGAGTGACTGTACTTACATATAAATGACTTTTGTGATATTACGATTCTTTAATCTTCCATTTTGAAATGGTCAGGTAAAATACAGTTAGAATAAATCAATTTTACCACTCCATTTTTTAACTAGGAAAAAAGGGGCGCAATAACCTAATTTTTTGATGCACCCTTGCTTTTAAAGTCCTTTAAGAAATTTTCAATTAATGGTTTGTCTTTAATGACAATCTTTGATGAAAAATTTCTATGTGGGGAGTTTATGTGGAGTTTTGTAACAATTCAGGCAATCTAAGGGATTTGGTTTAAGGCTTTTCCATTCAGATATAACATTTTAATTACCCTGCTTTTAAACCTACCTTTAATATTTGTTTTGAGGGTAGCACAGACAAGAATAGTTCATCTTCCTTTTTCTGTGCAACAGAGAAGGGGGTCCCTGTCCAGTTTTTCTGCCTCCCCCTCCCCCTAGTGCAAAATAGGCTCCTCCAGTTTCCCGAAATATTGAAAGCTGGGTTTTTCTGGACTGTTTTTAGAAGTAGTGTTGTAAAAATACATCACGACTGATTTGTCTATTACCTTTTGGGTTTTATATTAATTTCCAGGGTTAGAACCATATTGTATTGCATTATTTGTATTTTAACTATTATTTTGATTAATTTTAATTAAATATATTATTGTATATCAAACATTATACCTAACTGAATGGAGAATTTCTGTTTATATATAAGTAAATACAGGAATTTATCAATTTCATTTGCAGAGCTGTTACCAAAGAATCATTTGATATTTTATAGAAAAATCTGCGAAGGGTTTTCCCAGACTATTTTTTATGTTTCATTGTTAGATGACAAGAATATATTTATAACCTTACCAATACTGGACACTCCCAGACTTAATTTTATTGACTTTATATGTCAGTTAAATATTTTTGATATATTTCTGGGGATTTTAATAGAGGACAAATATTTATTTTTTCCTTGCCTAATCTTTTAAAATTAAAGACAACTTTTTTCCAATGTAAGGATTAAACACCATTTTTGTTTTCAATATCCAGGTCGTCTCCTAGACGAGCTAGTATCAGTGTCTAGCTCTAGGAAGTGCGGCTTTGTAGTTCAAGGACTTTAGCCAGAACTCTCTTTTTCCGTGGTTGATGAACTTTTGCCACAACACTACGAATTGAGTTTGAAGACGCCGGGCCACAAGTTGGGCCGCGGACGGATATATAGTATGTAGCAACTTACTGGGGATGTACGGCTTTGTGGTTCAAGGACTTTAGCCAGAACACTTCTTTTTCCGTGATTAATGAACTTTTGCCCCAACACTATGAACTGAGTTTGAGGACGCCGGGCCACAAGTTGGGCCGCGGACGGATATATAGTATGTAGCAACTTACTGGGGATGTACGGCTTTGTGGTTCAAGGACTTTAGCCAGAACACTTCTTTTTCCGTGATTAATGAACTTTTGCCCCAACACTATGAACTGAGTTTGAGGACGCCGGGCCACAAGTTGGGCCGCGGACGGATATATAGTATGTAGCAACTTACTGGGGATGTACGGCTTTGTGGTTCAAGGACTTTAGCCAGAACACTTCTTTTTCCGTGATTAATGAACTTTTGCCCCAACACTATGAACTGAGTTTGAGGACGCCGGGCCACTAGTTGGGCCGCGGACGGATATATAGTATGTAGCAACTTACTGGGGATGTACAGCTTTGTGGTTCAAGGACTTTAGCCAGAACACTTCTTTTGCCGTGATTAATGAACTTTTGCCCCAACACTATGTCGTATTACCTCAATATCATTATTAATCAACATATTTTCCAGTGCAGTTAGCGGCCTTCTATGCAAGGGTGAGCGAGAAATAGAAGACGACCTTTTCCTCTTCTTATGTTCTCCCATTTTACCTTAAAAATAAATATTATTAAATACAACTAATTATAAAATTTTAGAGATAAAACTTCTCTATTCCTAAAAGAACGTGTATACCATCTTGGCACAAAAAACGTTATGACGTGTGAAAGGGATCGGTAAAGTAGGTAAGCATACTTAACCGATAAAGAAGTTTTTTTTTTTTTATCTTTGAACGTTGTGCCATCTAGCACCGAAAACCGGTACTACTAAGTTATTATAAAGTAATCTATTCGGACGAAGCGCCGAATATAATCGTAAATCGTAATTCAATTGGGCTTTGAATCTCTGACTCTGATACAGGTTGTAAAAAATTGTACAGGATGAAAGTGGACAATATTTCTGGTTCAACAAAGCAGACAGCATATTTTATTTATTGTTTACATGTATGTAACAAATTGAGATTTCGCTATAAAATCATTGGTCATACTAGAAGTAAATATTTTGAATTATTAAAAATATTACAAAATAATTTTATACTTCATTCTTATCAAAAATTAATCTAATAATGTCAACTGGAATTCTTGGTGCAGGTAATAGTAAATGATTAGTACGTTGCAATATTTCGAAATATCTGTAATAATATTTGGGCGGGACAATGGATAATTTTAAATTTGACATTCTTGACAGATGACAATTTTATCGTTTTATTGCGTTTGCAAATTCTGTTCAAACTTTTTCTACTAGAGAATGGATGAATAAAACGCACCTACTGCTCCGAATTTGACAAGACAAACTGACGTGTAGCACTGACGTGTAAATAATAACCTAAACTGAAAAGTTTTCCAATTATTTAAGTGGTTTAAAAAATATAAAATAATGGTTTTAATGACAATGATTGCCCGTGTGGCAGATGGACTGCCTTTAGCGGCTACCATGCAGGAAGATGAACAGGTTTTTATTAAAAATATATTACCATTAATCGGAATTAAATGATTTTTTTTTTAGTCTGGAAGGAGTATTTTGGACTATCAAAACCAAGCAAAAATGTTATTCCGAAAACTAGGTCCTCAATCTCCCCCTAAGTGTAGTATTGAAACTGGTCCATATTTATTCCAGTAAGAGGGCTTTAAAATAACAAAAACTAAACTAATGTATACTTCTTTTTAGTTATTTAATAGAATATGAAGTATGTTATTTAGTTTTGTGTGAAAAAACTTATTCCAAACGACTGGCCTATTCTTATTTAGAAGATATTGCCCAAGAATTTCATGCACAATATGGTAAAAGGGTTAACACTGTAACTAGACCTTATACTTTTATAGAATTCGATAATTACATTCAAAAGGCAAAAAAACAGTTTTCTGATTCAAGATCTAGAAGAAATTTAAATGTTATCAATAATCAGCTACAGGATGTCCAAAGAATTATGGTTCAAAATATTGATGATGTTTTACAAAGAGGGACAGTTTTATCAGGTAAATTTAAAGTATGTGATGTAATGAATCTTTGTGTGCAAGTCTATTATTGTTTGTTTGACATTATACACGACTGAAAACCAAAAGAATTTGGTTATCATTTCAATATTATTACTTTATTTTGCTTGGCCGCTACTATTCACATCACTGTTATTTTAAACTCCATAGTTAAAATGTCTTTAGAAAATTGTTTCTGTTTTTTTCAGAATTGGATTCGAAAACTCAGAACTTATCAATGTTAACAGAGAAGTATAAGAAGGATGCTACATATTTGAATACAAAATCTATGTATGTAAAGGCAGCAGTAGGAGGAATTGTTTTTCTTGTATTTATTTTATATTTCTGGGTTTTATAAGATGTTCAGATTTTAAGAACAATGTCTGTATGTTTTAGAGCTTATCAGTGGAGGACTGGTTGTACATAATTTCTATTTAAAATTGTTTTGTATTCATTAAGTTTTCACATTAATATTATAAGTTGTAAATGAGCATCCAAATTATAAATAATTACAATTTTAATATATTGAAAATATATTTTTGTTATTAAAAAGTATTACCTAAATATGTAGGTATTAAAAGCTATTAAGAAAATGGACATTTTTGAATTATTTAAATTGGTCTTCCACTGTTCTTGTACATTTCTTTATTTATTACAAAGGATCATTGTTAGGGGATTTATGGTAGAACAATTTTAACTTAAAGATCGACAATATGTTGTAATTCTATAACTTCAGTGATACAATCAACTATTTACTTTAAAAGGCTGAATGTAAAATTAAATATTTTTCTTTAAAATAAACAGCCTAATTCACAAATGATCTATAAATGTACCTGTAAGTTACAGATGTGTAAACTTTAATGAATCTCTAATAGAGTTGGGTGATATTGTTTACATGTTCTTGTATGTTTTTCAGAAAAATACTAAAGAATATTTAATTTAATGATTTCAGGAAAAACCTCATTAGTTTTAATTTTACTAATCACCTGAACAGTTTAACAGTCTGTTTGAAAAATCAGATATCTCCCAACTCAACTTTTTCTCTGAATTGACGTTTCTAGCTTCAAACATTTACAGGTAGGTAAATATTTAAAGGTGTTTTGTGAATATGGTAGTGTAATAGTTCAGTGCAGTGAGTAAATAATAATTGAATAAAATTGACATTAATTAGAGGAGAGAGAGAAAAAAATGTCTTTGTCGTTATAAAAAAATGTCTTTGTAGTTATAAAAAATAAACTTTTAATATTCTTCTAGAAATATATGTCAATATTTTGATCACCTACGTAACTTCTCAAATCGACAACTTTTATCAAATATCAACTTATGTTCAAAAATTTCTATTTCCAATAAATTTTATTATTTTTAAGTTTAGTACTTTTTGCTATCCAAGAGTTGAGTTGGTCTAAAATAAACAAAAAATGGACGCTATAATGAGAAATTTAAAAAGGTGGTAGGTTATTTACTATTAAAAAATAAAATGTCCAATAATACATTTTTCACTTACTCCATAACAGAGCATATCTACCCTTATTGGTGTAAAAAAATACAAAGGCTCTCTGGCTAAAGAAAGACTTTTCCTTGCAAACATTAACATTACTTATGTTATTTCAGCATGTATATAAGTTATAAAGTAATTTTAAAAAACCGGCTTCAAAATTTTGCTGATGTCATTACAAATTGACTTTGCTGATTTTCTCATAGATGCCATCCCTGATAAAAATCGGACAAGGTGGTAAAGAATTATCGCTGAACATACAAAAAATAAAGAGGTTGATGATTTTATCATGGACCCAATTTTTAGGTCTTGACCAAATTTATATGGGACCACCCCATCCTCTTTCTAACAAAAAATAATCATTGAATTGGGACAACGTGGTAAAGAATTATCGCTGAACGTAAATATGACGAACTAATAACTTTCTCCTTTTATTTGAAGTCTGTTAAAAACACAAAAACTGCTGTATGTCTTTCCTCTCTTCTCCGTCACTAACCAATTCAATTTAAATAGGGAAAGTACCAAGTATGACACATTATTGAAAATGTAATGTTATGGATAATTCAGTAATATGCCTATTCATAGCGTTTACTTTGTTTTTTAGCATCCTCCAGCAGGATAAAAAATTTACGTATTGTAAAATATGACACCTCGAAACATGAACTTAATTGAAAACTCTTGCATCTAACGGTAAAAAAATACAAACTTTAATCACAATCAATCAAAATAACAAATTTATTCTGCTCATTGAATTACTATTAAAATTAGCTTTCAAATGAGGTGCCTTGCAAAGAATATTCATATCACTAAATTCTCAATAAAATTACCTTTTCATTGATATGTCACACTTGGTATTGGTTGGAGTGACGAAGGGAAGGGAATGACGTATGATAGTTGAGGATATAATAGAAAGGTAACATGGAAAAAATCGACCTATTTTTGCTTTTTTTTTAAATCTTTAAAATATTCTGTACAGCCGCTGACAGTATAAATAACAGTCCTCAATCAGACGCCATGTAACTAGGGTTTATATTTACGCCACTTTTGGATTCAAATGTTTGTGTGCTAGAAAAAAAAGTTCGAACATCGTTTTATATAAACCCTCATTCAACTGGAATTAGTTTTAAATTATAAAGAGGGAAATACAGGGTGAAATAAAAAAGGTACAGTAAATTTAACCTTTGTTTCTGGGGTCGAAAATAAGTCGATTCAAGCTTACTTCTTATATAAAAATAAGATAGTAAAAAAGTAACAGAGTGTTAAAGTTTAAATTTTAGAAGTGGATTGTGCTTTTACTCTAAAACGGCTTAACATATTTTTAAAAAGACCCTCGTTTGTACGAAAAATAAGTAGAGGACTTTTTTTTTAGAATTGGACACAAAATTTGGACCTAATTATATAAAAGTGCTCTATCGTCACGGTTGCCACGCTTTTCATTTCCGGAAATGTGGCAACCCTAGTTGTTATAGTATACCAGTGATTAATAAAATGGAGTCAGTGGCGTTTAACAATTGTTTCAATTCTAAATATTTTAAGCTGTTTTAGAGTAAGAGCACAAAATCACTTCTAAAATTTCAACTTTGACACCCTGTAACTTTTTTACTATACATTTTTTATGTCGGCAAGTTAGCCTGCTAAATCGACTCATTTTCGACACCAGAAACTACATATTTTTGTTACACCCTGTATAAATAGGCAAGTCGAAACTGAACTTTTTAATAGGTACTGTGTATACTGTACATCGAGAATAAAGTATAGAGACGACATAAACACTATTTTGCGATATGATAAATGGACGCACTTCGATTGACGGAAAAGTGTAATGAAAATGGCGACTTGAGTCGTACTTTGATTTATTTCGAGTCAATAATTTTATATATGAAGACTGACAGAATGAAAATTATTTTATATAATTTAAATAAAGCTATTAAAAAAATGGCATTTATTTTCACCAAAACTGACTAGCTTCAGTTTGACATATGAATATATAAAAATGTAATGCTAAGGAGCGGACACTTTATCATTGTCATAACATCTTCTCTTTATTCTATCTCAATGATACTGTACGAAATAATTCGTTTACAAATACGCTCGTTGTTTGCCAGGATTATGAAGTGCACTGTTAAAAAGTCCATGAACAACAAATAAATTGTATAACAAAATTACCATGAAAAACAAAAATATATATATACCTATAATTATTTGAATTTGATGAGTTCCAGGAGTGGTTAAAATGTTGGTATTATTTCTGGGACACTACATGCAATAAGGTGGCGCAAAATAAACACCTCTTTTTTTATTATTATAATTTATTTTTTCTAATTTTGACACATAATGTTGAAATTATGAAACTGGTTACGAAAAATTTATTATATGTTGCGAAAAGAAATAGAAAAACCCTTTTTTAGTTTTAAAGTCAATATATCCATTATTGAAGGTTTATATCAAAGAAGGGCAGGTTGACTTACAAAAATAGAATTTGGTTAAACTTACAACCTAGTAATAATATTGTTTTGTTCCTTATTTTCCAGTCCAAATAATCACAAAATAATTAAAACACAATACACGACAAAATAACCCTCTTTTTTGACAACTAAATAACTTATTTAATAAACAATATAATAACACTGCAAGTCGTTGAGAATAAATAATTAATAATTATGTTGTAATTGTCAATAAAATCATAAACCAAGACACAATTTTAATCAAAATATTGTATGTAACACGTTACGAAATGCCGTTTTATGAAACTCGTTCACTCGTTACATAAAATAAAGCATTTGGTTGCATAAATAGTTAATTCAAGACATTTTTTCATTACAAACACATCGAGCATTACAGATCTTCGTCAGTCGTCTTGAAGCATAATAATTTTATGAAGTTTTCAAACTCGCCGTTCTTTGAAATATGTGTATAAGAACAAATATATATGGGACCGTCAGGCTCGATAAATATGGCTACCATGAGATTTCTTCATAACGGAAAACGACATGACCGACCAATTCTCCCATTAAGACCATATTCAGTATGTCGTACACACGACCATAATTCCGTTTGGGCTTGTAGATCCAAGGTATAAATGAGGAAAAATGTCTTAGATTTTGCGCCACCCTGTATATCTTGCTTGGCCATGAAAACATCTTTTTTGCTTAATTAATTAACCATTAAGCTTAATCTGTAAAAGTCTTAATTAATTTGATCCACCATTCTCGAAACTTGCAGGTGTTTTAATATTGCACATAATAAAAAAGTGTTTCTAAAGCAGTAAAGTCATTTCCGTGACATAAAATCCAAATTGACACTTTCAAAGAAGAATTGAACACTCCGACATACGTGAATTTTTCCACTACTTTAGAAATATTTTTATCATTCTTCATATTTAATATAAACTACGCCATATGTTTTATATTAATAAAATTTGGTTAAGTTCATTGAAAATTTGAGTTTATGTTGTCACAGGTCGGCGATGTTTTTTCTTAAATTATCGCAGCCAGTGCAAAGGTGCCTTCCCCGTCTTATCAGATAGAGTTGTGAACTGTATCTACGAGTAAATGATGAATCTTGTATAGTCTTACCGTTTGGTTAAAAGATGACTTTGAATGCAGAAATTAGAGTACTTTGCTTCTAATGACAACTGGTTTTATTTTTTCTTAAACTTAAATATACATTACAAACAGTTGATTAATGAAATAATATTTTTACATAAATGACTGTACACAAAACATGCCGGTTTAAAAACCTTTTAGGAATATATCATTTGTTTTAATGTTAAAGTTGCGACTGTTTCGCGTGGAGTTTCAAATGTTTCTCAACTTGAAAAATGTCTTTTGTCTAAAATTCTGTACTTGCCACTATATATTGTGATTGGTTTAAAGAAATGGTGTGTTTTGTACCATTCGCCGTTGAGAGATGGGTGATGTGTGTTACAAATTATTGTTGAGTGAGCGCTTTTACAATTTATTTTAAACGGGCTTATACAGGTGATAGTGAAATAGATGTTAGTGCAAGCGAGTTGGAGCTTGTTTATTTATGCGGGGTATTTTCAATAAAGTGAGAAAGTATAGATTGCCCGAATATTCAGTTGCTTTGCGCGTAACTTGAATCCTAAGCTGATAACAGATTAAATACTTGGAAACATGTTAAACGGCATTTATCAGGGTTCGCTTTGATTTTAGTTTATTATTTTTGTAATTGAAACATGATTTTTATTTTATGTAAGATTATTAAATTAGGTAATGCTAACTACATATTTAATAATTAAATAAATATATTGCTTTTCTTATGTCAACTATTTACAGTATTATGTTACATTACTTATACGGGGATGGATCATACAGATAGTAACTAAAGCATCTGTTAAAAATGCTTCTCATTTTTGAAATACGTATACTTCTAGTCTGGAACATCGAAGATTGACCTATGTACATTAGCGTAGAATATAGCAACAAGTGATGGTGGAACAATATCACTCGGATACGTGTGGTATGCCGAAATTCTACCACAGTAGGTCAAAACATGAGTCGCTAGGGTAACATTTTGCTTAAGCCTTTTGTTTTGCCATTTTACCCAAGCCATTTGTTTTGTTTCGAGACGTCTCTGGGTTTTCTCGATTGTTCCAAGATCGACAAGGTGGTTACGTCACCCTTTCTTTCCTCGTTACAGCAAACTTTCCAAAATCAATGGATAATCACACGTGATACCCGAATCGGCGTAATGAATCTCTATGTAGAACTTCGTAAATAAAAGTATTATCTAACAGACAACTTGTATCGAAAGATTCAGCGCCTTAAATACAGTCTATCAGAAAAATCGATCTAATTTATCAATAGGGTAGTCAGGCATTCAGATTTATATGCCAAAATCCCACATAAGGTGGTCCTTCGAGCCGAATATTTGACAAAACAGTGGTCATGGGCGGTCAATCTTCCATGTTCTAGATTGGATAAAAACAATATTTGAGAATGTGATGTATCAAAATCCACCTGCCTAGGTCACAGTCAAAGTTTAAAGCAAATGTAAAAATCACTGTGATAAAAACTCTATTGTCTAATTTTCCATCTGTTTTTAGAATGTATTTTATAATAGATGTGTTGTATGTAACAAGTGATGCACAAAAATGTTTCTAGTAGATAAGATGACCGACTAAGACATATGAATCATAACCATGATAACTATAAATAGGCAAGCCTCTGAATTAAATCCAAACCAATTTAAAAAATAATTATTGTACGCTCCAACACTCGTGATTTTTTCCATGGTCTACTTTAGAAACATTTTTGTGCATCATATTTTAATTAAATATATAATTATTTCAAACAAAATTTTATTTATAAAAATATTAACCCAAAACAAAATTAAGTATTCAAAAAACAATAAATCAGGTACAGTTTTTACGGCGGTTAGTCATCATCAGAAATGTCTTCATCTGAATATTCAGATATGAACAATAAATTTTTGAGCGATTTATATAAATTATCGTCCTCTTCTGCTTTGATTATGATATTATTAACAACTTCACTTCCAGATTTTATTGATGGTTCATCATCTTCTTCATCTAAAAATATCAGTAAACAACAAGTTTCTTTTTTACGTGCCTATTTTAAACATTTATAAAATTACTACAAACAAATCTACTTTGGTTTTTAGTTGATTTTAAAACTTGATTAATATCGCCGTCTAACTTTTAATACCCTATCATTCATATCATTCAATTAACCGAGCGTCTCCCTTCGAAAACAACTACTCCTTTTGCTAATACCGCAACAGGCATTGAATTATATCCAAAGGAAAGACGACAGAGATATACATTTAATTTCAACACTTTTTTTATGATTATAGAACTCGTAAAATTTAAATGACTGAAAATTAAAAGTGAAGGCGAATGACCCTTTAATACAATTTCAAAGAAAACTAGATGAAACATCTGTCAAAAATGTCAAAATTAACGTATAGTATGCAATTCCTCAATAAGCCTTAGGTTGAAATTTATTTTAGATCCACAAAATATCGAACAATGGCATTACCAGACCCCGTCAAGATTTCGCCTCTAATAAAACTGGCGCGGTACGCGTTTTTAATATCGGGAATTGTATATGGCGCCAGCAGATTGAATCTTTTTAAAAGCATTGCAGCTAGTCAAAGGGAGGAAAAAGAACGTCTCAAAAAGGAGGCTGAAATGCAAGTCGCAGAAGAGAAACGAAAGTCTAGTGATAGAGACCTAACCGCCATTGCTGCCTTGTTCAATGCAGAAACTAATTCTGGAAACGTACCGAAAGAAAAAGATGCAACACCTGAAAGTGACGGTACTTGTAGTTCTGACGAAATTAAGAAAGAACCTTCCGGAGATCTAGTGAATGAAGATCAAAATAAACTAAATGAACAATGTACAGACGGTATTTTATCCGGTGGAAATGATTACCATGTTGAAACATTTTCTAAAGGTGTTCCTTACGCCTCTCCAAAATCAGAGAAAGCAGACTTTTTACCCAAATAGGTTTATAGGAAATAATGAGGAATTTACATAAGACTTTTAAATAAAACTCCGTTTTTGTAAAATTGGATTTTAGATTATTTAAAACGCTTTTATGAACCATTTCAGAACCTAAAGAGCCAAAAGGCTATCATTAAAAATGAAGTTGTGTTTGCTATTTATTCTAATAAATTATGTTAAGTGTTTCTTCTGTTATTTTATGCAAATAATGATACAGTACTACCTTAGACCCCTACTGTATCCAACCATTTCATACTTACCTATCGCTACAACGGGACATTGCTTGAGGACCTTGTTTTTTTTAAGAATTCAGTAAGAGGAAGGAGTATATGATTTTGGTTTTTTGATTGGAGGACCTTTTTTTTAGAGGTCAGGAAGAAGAAAAGAAGACCTTTTTTTAAAGGCCAGAGGAAGGATGATATGATTTTGAGATTTTTGTTGTAGGGGCTCCGCAAAGAAACGGGAGGGACCTGGCAAGAGGAAGGATTTTTTTTGTTCGAAAAGTGTTTAGGGCTCCGTCAAATATTTCGCTTTTCAAAAAGGTTCCGTCACCAAAAAAGTTTGAGAACCACTGCTCTAGAGCATCTCTAAAGGGTACAGAATATCCAATTTGGGATAACAAGTAGGGACAATCAACAGATGAGTTAATAATATTAAACAATATTTTAAGATCCCTTTGGTTTCTTCTGCTCAGAAGGGTCTCAAGATGACAAAGTGTGTGTAATTCCTCATAATTGTATCTGAAGTTAACCGGGACGATACCCGATTTAAATGCAACAATGCGTAAATGTTTTCTTTAAATCTGTTCTATATATATATATATGGATTGATTATATGTACATTAAAAGGATTCCATACAGCAGAAGCATATTCAATATAAGGTCTAACTAAAGGCTTGTTTTGGTTCTTTCACGAACTAGTTCAGAATCAGCGAACACTTGTTTAGCTAAATTGGTTATTATATTATCGCGACGTATTCTTGGAAAATGAGCTCGTCAGCTGTATTTGGCAACTGTAATCAACGATTCTGTTTGAACCAAAACAAACCCTAAGGCACAATAAAAAATCTTTAAACACATCAGATTATGAAAAGTGAGTGAAAAGAAAGGGTGGAATCAAGTATTCCACCCAAATATTTTGTTTGTAATAGTATCCAGTGTTGTCACTTATTTTATAGATATACTAGGTTTTGCACGCGTAGGTCGTGTTTATAATTTTAAAAAATGAATGATTATGATAGTTTTTATTAATTTTTATTGGTTTTTATTAATTTTTATTAATTTTAAATAATTTTTATTAATTTTTGTTAATTTTTATTAATTTTTACTTATTTTTAATAATTTTTATTAATTTTTTATTAATTTTTATTAATTTTTATTAATTTTTATTAATTTTTATTAATTTTTATTAATTTTTATTAATTTTTACTAATTTTTATTAATTTTTAATAATTTTTATTATTTTTTATTAATTTTTATTAATGTTTAATTTTTATTAATTTTTAATAATTTTTATTAATTTTTAATAATTTTTATTAATTTTTATTTATTTTTATTTATTTTTATTTATTTTATTTTTATATATTTTTTTATTTTTCTTTATTTTTACGATACTCCCCATTTTCCTTTCTCCTTAAAATGTGAAAATCCAAAAACCTTAAATACGTCATTGTTTACTTATGATGAGTAGGTACAATTCCAATTTTAAAATTTCTACAATTAAAAAACAGAAAGTCTTATTCAATATTTCACCCTTTGTTTCCTTCCTTAATATGTAATATCCAAATACTTTGAAACATGTCTATTTATTTATGAAGAGTACCTACCTACAATTCCAATTTTCAAGTTCCTACCATACAACCTTTCACTCTCCACACATTTCTCTCATTTCCCCAATTTCCCCCATTTTCCTCATTTCTCTTCTTAACCTCATTTTCCCTCTTAACATATGAAAATCCAAAAACCTGAAACATACCATTATTTATTTGTAATGAGTAGCTATAATTCCAATTTTCAAGTTCCTACCAATAAAAAAATCGATGCTTCTATGCTAACTTTTAACCCCCGTTTCCCCCACTTAACATGTGAGAAATCAAAAACCCTGAAACAACTCATTATTTATTTATGCTCAGTAGCAGTATTTCAAATTTTCAGGTTTCACCATCACTATGCAAAAAATTATGTCCGCAAAACAAAATGAAATCGATCCCACGGTAACCATACATTTTTTCGGGATAAAAAGTAGCCTATGTGCTATTCCAGACTATAATCTATATTTGTGGCAAATTTCATCCAGATCCGTTGGGCCGTTCTTGCGTGTTTGAGCCACAAACATCCATACATCCAAACTTTCGCATTTATATAATTATATGAAATATATGATTCAATAGAATTGTTTTCTGTTGAAATTGATTGCATAACATTTACTTGTATTTAATTCCATGCCATTGGACCAAGTTATCCATGTCTTTTTGAAGGCAAATACAATCATGTAAGGAATTTACATGCATGAATAATTTTAAATCATCAGCAAAGGAACTGAGAATTCTTAAAACAATTTTGGATGTCATTGTTATATATATTAAAAAGTAGAGGTTCCAAATGTGACTCTTCAGAGATACCAGATGTAGGGGTAAAGCCAAAGGTTAAGAAGCCAGAAACACGAACAATTTGAATGCTGTTCGTTATAAAGCATTTGATCCATTTCAGAAGATTACCACCAATGCCAATGTTACTAAGACCAATCTCAGTATCTAGACCTGAACTTCCTTAGTCCTAATAGCCAAACCTCAACCAATAATTGAGAGGATCAGTGCCAGAGTTGCCTAACCAACAAAATTTTAAAACAACTTTTTTTTGTATATTATTCTAAAATAATTTGTGTACATGCCAAAGTTGCCTATTCCGTAACATTATTATTTTTCGGTGCAACTATATTATAAAGATTAGGCAGTTTCGTATAGTAGATTCAGATAGAGTGCTTTAATTTCCATTTTTCCTTTTTAATATTTTAAAAACAACCTTTATCTTTATATGTTTTAAATTAAAATCATTTCTCTGCGTGCCAAAGTTACCTATTCCTTAAAATTATTCATTTTCAGTTTCAATATCTATAACTAAAGATTAGGCAGTTACATCTAGTATACACAGGTAAAGTGCTTTGAGCTTCATTTACTCACTTTTAATAAATTATTGGTTAGACAACTCTGGCACTGAACCACTCTGTTGTAAATACAAACAAAATTTATAAAGTAAAATTTAAATTTATTACCAGAATCAATTATATTATAGCCACTTCCATGATCCTTTAGGACTACATGTATGGTAGGATATTCAATAATTAATTTTTTTTGAAGGCACTCTTTCAACTGCATGTTTCCATCAATCTCATAAAACTTTTTACCAGCTTTCTGTTCAGCCTTTAATAAAAGTTTTATTCCAGCCAGTCCAGCTGCTTGATAATACTGGAATACTTCTGCTTGAGATTCATCTGCTATAGTCAGGTATTTTTCCAAAATTGAATTGAGCTTCTCAGTCTCCAGTATATTTGAATCGTAAAGTTTTAAATTGTCAGCATTTACAAAAACCCATTCGATATGCCAAAAAATTTGATTGGATTTTTGGTGGAAGCGTGTCGTGTTGTTTTTACGCCTAGCAAACTTGAATGGTAAGAATTTTAATTTAATTTTTCGTGAATTTGCAGCGTTTCCTAATTTTATTAATCCCTAAAACATTTAATTAGTACGAATAAAATATAACTGTTAAAAAAATAAAATAGTTACATGTGGTATATTATTCCAACGGTTTCCAAAATTTTTCTTAGACGTTTCTAATGATCTAGAGATTTCCTCTAATAATCTGTAATCGCTAGTCAAGTCTAAGTTTGTAAATTTATTTAAGGGGATAAATTTCGTTCGGTCTCTTTCACCATTGCATTCTAATTCTAATTTATGTATTTTATTGCATTTTAAAGAACAAGTTTTTACTTCACATCTTGGGCAGGTATATTTTCCATCATGGTATGCACACACTTCGCAAAGTCCTAATCTAAATTTGTTTTTTATTAATAAAAAAAGAAAAGAAAAACATGAGAATTACTTACTTAGTTGATAACACTTCGGAACACGTGCCCGAGCCTGAGCTAGTACTAGGTTCTGATTTTATGTTGTTCACTATATGAGTATCAACTTCCATTTTCCTAATATTTCAAAAATTGTAATGAACAAATCAAAACACTTCTTTTAAAATTTAAAACCCAGAATTATTATAACCTATCAACAAAAAAAAATATCCGGTCCTTTTACTTGAATCGGAACTAATCGGAGCAAATATGTTTCGTTATTTGAATAGGATAATTCATATCGGGTTATCGAAATGAACAAAACACAAAGAGCACGTGGAAATAACCCGGTGTTGCCAAACCATAAAAACATGACGATGACACACGTTAGGTTTTACATCAAGCTAATTCAAAATTAATTAAGACACCACTTTATTTATGTACCGTAACCGTACATGGTACATGTTTCCATTTACTCATAGGTATATACCCGTAAATTATGAAGGAAAGACATGCCGCGATTTTCTTGCGCGGAAAGGTGGTTTCGGGTTTTCATTATATTCGTTATTATTGGTGTTGCAATGCCACTGCCTCGCCACACTTATAAAATCTCCGCGTTAAACCAATTTGCAGTTAGTACAAAAAATAATAAAATTTTAGCATTACAAAACACGCTTAAATGAAGATTTTTTTGTTTGCGTTTTCCTACACCTACAGAAACTGAGCGCGGCGATAAAACTTGCGCGTGTAAACTGCGCTTTACACGATTTTTCATTTTTTGGTAAGTTTATGTTTTAATTACAATTTATTTATTTATACACACAAACAATTAAGACCTTCTTTTAAAATGAAGCATATATCTAGAACCAATGTCTAGAACCCATAAAAAGCAGATAATTCAACATAAAATTATCTCGGAAATAACAGAATAACAGCTGAGAAATTAATAATCGAATGATTTTTCATGCAATCGAAATCAAAAACCGAATACCTACTGAAACGATTGATTTAAATTCATTGAAATTCTTATAAAACTATTTAAACTTTTTATCTAAAATTAATTAGGTATAATTTAAAAGTTAAATATGTTTTCGCATATTAATGTCGAAATCTTCAATACACAACACGGTTTTAAATTCTAATTTTCTAAGAAGCATATGATTGGTCACATTTGAATGACTAATTTTTATACATTCTTGGCAAGCCTTTTGTTTAGCTTGAGTTTAATCTTTATTCTCCCAGCTATGAGATAACAGATAAGTTCAATTTAAGTGATAAAATTATTTATCTCAATATGCATACATATCCTCATTTAAACAGAATGTTAGATTAATACAGTTTTTTTTGTATTTCTCTTCCTTAATTACGGAAACTCGCCGAAGGCATTGTATAAAGAACTATAGTAGGATAATGGACATGTAAAAGTTATTGGAGGCAATCGCGCCTGACATCTATTGGTACAATCATTGAACTAACGATTTTATTTACTGGTTAGATACGCCCTCTACGTCAGATGTTAGAACTTTATAAGTGACAATTCCGTCAAATTAATTGTCAATATATATTTTTTTAGTTATTAAGATTAAATATAATTAAATATAGTGATTATTGTGAAGAATCAATAAATAATAGCATTCCACAAGATATTCGTCTATATTTAAAAATAAACTGAGATTTTAATGAAACTAAAAGCAATCTGATTATCAGCGTTAAAAAGTAAAACTTTCTCGTAAGGCTCCATAACGAATAGTTAGAGAAATCGTCTATGAATCGGAAGGTTGTGAGTTCAAACCCACGAGTAAACACTTTTCTTTTTTTTTTTTTTCTAAATTGGTAAAACTTAAATTAGTAATGACATCTAAATCTTCATGGTTAAATTTCGTCTTTTTGCTATGGCCACTCGGGATCATCAAATTATAATAGATAATAATAGGTCCGGTAATTTTATTTAAATCTTTTGACAATGAAACTAAAAATGTGTGTCTAAAGGAGAAATATACCAAAAATAACAAGTATTTAAATTTTGCTAATAAATTTGTATTAGGTATGTGTTAAAAGAAAATTACATCATTTTGTATTTGAATATACAGTGTGGCGCAGAATGTCTGCACCAAGAAAACACGAAATTAAATTTTTCTTTAATCTACGTAAAAAAGTTGGAATTAAAATTTTTTACTGAAAATTATTAGGTACCTAACAGGGTTATTCATTATAAATTACCCACCCTTTATGCTGTAGTTATTATTGTATAATGTTTACATTGACCGAATTTTGTTAAAATGTCATCAAAAATACAATGACAATAATATTTTTAATAGGGATAGCATATATATACAGGGTGTCCCGAAATTAAACGGTAATATTTTAACAGCGTAATCTACAACCTAAAATAGGAGTAAAAGTTTATATAAACATAGGTCCGAAAACGTTTCGTTTTCGAGATACAGGGTGTTACAAGTGAAGTCCAGATGGCGCATTTTTATAAATATTTTCTAAAATTTCTTTAGTCATCCGTTTTCCAAAGTTAAAAAAAAAATAAAATTTCTGATTCCATGGGCCTACTAATTATTGTTTACACTTTAGAGTAACATCAACTTATCATGAAATTTTCAAATGCTTTTCTCTTGAAAATGGTGCGTCCTAACGAGATACAAGGTAAGTAGCTTTATTATAAAGAAAACATTGGTTTTCCAAATTTTATAGTCAAAAGTGTTAAAAACTGTCAACAAAAAAAAACTTAGGGCAATTTTACCTTAAACCCCTTTAATTTACCCACCTATGAAAATGATTAAAAACTGGTGTTTAGTCCATTAAAAAGAGCGTAAAAAGGTAAGCATTTTTAGCAAATTTTACTTAGTTATCTTTAAAAGTTTAGAAAATATTTACAAAAGTGTGTCATCAGGACTTCACTTTTAACATCCTGTATCACGGAAAAGGAACTTTTTCGGGCCTATGTTTATATGAACTATTACTCCTATTTTAGGATGTAGATTACGCTGTAAAAATGTGACCGTCTTATTTCGGGATACCCTATACCGGGTGTTCAAATTAAAGTGTTACAGTTAAATACCGCCTTTTATGAAAAAAACGTTTTAGACGAAAGTTTAATAGTTTTTTGGGAAAAATAATTTGGCTAAAATCGTTTTTTATAGCTAACCATAATATGGTTTTTTCGCGCAGCAAAATTTTTAAGTAGGTGTTACTCTATAAGTAAAAGTCCAATAAAAAAATATTTCCCCCAAAAAAACTATAAAACTTTTGTCTGAAACTTTTTTTATAACATGCATATTTTAGGCGGTATTTTAAGTGTAACACTTTTATTCAATTTTCGGAATGATCTTTATTCTTTCCTAATTAATTAAACGTCGAATCTCTTATAGTTTAGATAAATATATACACTTTTTTCCTCACTGTAAACTACCTATTTGGATTATTTTATTACCAAACATAATAGTTATTGTGATTTTCATAGCTTTTACTTTAATAATGTTAACTTTTTTATATTTACATTATCGACGTTAAATTACTCGAGAACAGTCGGTAAGATAGGGTTATGAATATTGTACATTTTCAAAATAATAAAAAAAAATATATCCCAGAAATTTAATAACATTGAGGGTATCCCATTTAAAAAAGTTTATTTGTGTTGAATTCCGTGAAATCTGAATACGAATGTATTTTTATGGTATATTTAAAAAAAAAGTCATTCATATTCTCATATTCACAAACTTTTATTTAAAGTTTTTTTTTTGAATATGCAATAGTGGTTATATACGTTGTCTTTAATAATGAATAATTTTGTATATGATCTCAAATAAATTTGTTGAAATTATTTTAAATGTAAAAATGTCACTTCTGCTTCTCCAGTATTGCTAAAAAAAATTGTGTCCGGGTCTGGGATTTGACGTCAAATATTGATTCTAAATACATTTTCCAAGTAACATTATCTTCCTGTTTTTAGAAATAAAGGTTACTGTTTAGCCAAATTCATATGTTTTTTGGACACACAATATTAAAAACTTCCCCTACTAAATATTTTGCCTCAACCAAAGTTGATATCTTAAATTGATTATTGTTAGAAAAAGTAGAAATAATAGTAAATATAATAAAGAAATTAAAAAAATCATTTAAAATTAATTTAAGTTATATTATTCAAAGAAACAAATTTTAGCTTGCACTTAAATAAAACAGTAAAGAACCACCTGAGAATAATCACTTTAGTCTACCATATAGGTACCAATAATTATTCATAAAAATTACTTATATTTTACAAACCTAACCAACAGGATTATTGGAAATACCAACAAAAGTAATCCTTATAAAATCCATTGTGTTTACTTCAATATTAAGAATTCTTTTATATCATTTACCAACCATCTAAAGGGTTTTTTATTACATTGCTACCTGTCTGGCACCAGATTAAAGAAATAACCAGAGTTGTTTATGATTATTTCAATGCTAAGTACCTACTTAGTTAGGTACCTACCTATGTATTTAAATTAAAAATAAAATGTTTCTTAACACTTAATAAATGTATTATTATTATTATTATTATTATTATTATTATTATTATCATTAATATTATATAATTTATTTTAAATTAATTCGGATAATACCTGTAAAGGAAAAGAAAAAGAAAAACTAAAGCATATTTTCTATTTTATTAATTTCAAAACAGTTATAAATATACAACTTTTTAATTCTTATTTTAAAACAATAATTAATTGTTAACTAATCTATCATAATATATATCATAGTACAACTGAAGATTCTGTAATTAAAAATAAAATGATTAAACGAAATATGCTTAGAAAAAAAAATTACCCGTTTTCGAAACGCAGGGGGTTAAAATTGAAAATTCAAAAATTATTAATGGCTATATTTTTATTTTTCAGTATCATTTTACTGAATTCGGTAAACATTTGTGACTCTTTCCAAAAACTTATTTGGACTATAATTTAAATTTTTTTAAATAATTCATGTACTCTTGTTGGGAACTCATGAAGTGATTGGTTTTCGAGATATTCGCACTCATTTTAATTTATTTTATAATTTCGGATTTTTTAAAAAATTTCCAACAAGAGTACATGACTAATTTAAAATACGTCTAAAAATTCAAAATTATAGTCTAAATAAGTCTTTAGAGAGTGGCGTAAAATTAATAAGGGACGAAGGTGCTACTTACCATCCGGTGCATCACTGACAAAGCTTATCTAATTAATTTTTGTGCTGAAAGGTGTACATTTTATAAAAATATCCAAAATTAAAATGAAGAATATCCACATTTGAGTGTGAATATCTCGAAAACCAATCACTTTATTCCCAAGTTCCCAATAAGAATACAATATTTATTTTAAAAAACATCAAAACATTTAAAAGTATAGTCCAAATAAGTTTTTGGACAGTGGCGTAAAATTTAGAGGGGATGAAGGTGTTACTTATCCATACCGTACGCCAATGGCCAAAGTTTATTTACCTGATTGCTTTGTATATTAATCGTCTTTATTTTTAATCAGAGAATCTTTGTCAAATTCTTAATGAGACACCCTGTATACAGTAAGATTCAAAAACTGTATTAGGAACATACAAATCGTTATTACAAATGTTATTGAAAAAAACATTCTTAATAGCCCTTAGGGCCTTGCCTAAAATCGAATATAGTCTCATTGCAAAAATTTTTGTTTTCCATACAAAGGGGCGTCAAAAATTAAAAAAAAAAATACAAAAACATGTTATTTGCAAAGTAGTTTTTGAGCCTATTTCATATATTTTTACATCTCTCATACTTTTTTCTCGAATAGAAAAGGATTTGGTCACAGCACCAATTTCTAAGATTAATTTTTTTACTTACGAATGCAAACATTAGTTATGTTGTAGTATTGATAATTTTACATTTTTTTTACCTGTACGAGTTCTCATTGATGTAGAAAGGGTTTTGCAATATTTGAATATTAATGTTCTTAGTAATAATTTTAAAATATATTGCCTATGTTCAATACAAGGCTCCCCTACATTGTCCCATTCAGGTAGATTTGTTTTTAAGTGTTTTTTAATAATTCTGTTCAAATTATATATGATATTTTTTGTTAAGTATTTCGTTATATTTTTACTAAAATTATTCATACAAATTTTTGTAAAATTTTTCATTAGTAATGACGGTGTTTTGAGTGCATTTTGCATTTCTAAATTATAATTTTTGTAAAATATTAGTAATTCGTCATTATTGTCTACATCCTCATTCCCTTCTAAATTTTCTTTACAATAATGACAATTAAATTTTTTAAAACATTTTCTAAATAAATATCCCGCAAAATATGTAGAAGAACAGTTTTCCAAATTAAATTGTTCATACATTAAATTTTTTGAAGAAGAACTAGTACTA